ATCGGGAATTGCTCCGTAACGATTGTAGCGGCACAATCGTTACAATTCGGAATGTTCTTCTAACAATATTATCGATCGTAACTCCAAATGGTATGGTAGGTCTGTTTTCTAGAAGCGGAAATCTTTGCTAAGTTGATTTTCGCGCTTTTTCTGTAATCGCGAAAATAAAAAACGTCACGTGTTTTTACAATCGAATCTTTAGAATTTCACATATCAGCTAAAACCGACCCCTCCCAATTCGATCTGTTTCAAATAAGACCATTAATCTTCTGAAACAGCCAACTTCCACTAAACTGTTCCAATAAAATTTCAATTGAGTCATGCATTTTGACCGCCCTTCTGGTCGAATGTCACATTTTTGAAGTTCAGGGTGCGGCCGTCCCTAACACTGATATTTTTCTGAACATGCTTTAAATAATTTTGTGCTCGTGTACCGAGGAACCCAGGGCAGGTAGCTTTCCTAAGCAGATAATGTCCCTCGCAATACAGGTTGCGAACGCTGCCTGTTTACTCGGCTGGATTAATGATAAAACTAGTTTCCAATATATTTTTTTATTGTTTAAAGCCAAGGGGAAAAAAGCGCTGCTTTATATAAGTAAATGACAGACTCGTAGCCTAAAAACAGGTCAGTATTTTGGGTCACTTTCAACTCTTTATTCTGTGCAGGTGTTAGTTTTCTCAATCTGGTCGGCTTGATTCCCAACCATCTGACTCTCTTTTCTTCTATCCACAAAATACTTTACCCTTCCATATCTAGAAGATTGCGAAGATTTTGTCTGGATGATGTGATGAAAGTACTCCTGACTGTAACCTCGGTTACTATGATAACTCCGACCTTGTTATGCTTAATAAAACAAAAAAAAATCGTACCAAACTCCAAAAGGTGATCAACATTGCTGAAGCAAAATGGCTGGAATGGATGCTTAGGTACGCAAAATTTTGAATGATCTATGCGGAGAAGAAACTAGTGTTGCGGAACTTTACAGTACTGGGAAGAAAAAAGAAAATGGTACAAGACCAAGAACACTGATAGTCAAGCTGCCGATCTACTGGCAGTACCACAAGTTGAAGGACTCTTCTGAAAACGTCTTTATCTCCCGTGAACTAACGAAAATTGAACATGAGCTAGAAAGGAAGTTGCTAAAATGCCGATACGAACTTATTCATTCTGGCAGGTCGCAAAGGAAAACGCAACAATCCGCGGTTTGAAACTGTTTATAAACGGACAGGAACAAAAATTGGAATGACTACAAGCCGAATTTGTCATAATATTGCTTATTAATGCCAGGTCCCTCAAAAAGCCAAACGCCCTGTTACATTTACATAGAGACATATTAGACCAAAATGTTGACATCTGTCTTGTTTGCGAAAGCTGATTGGGTGTTAATGTTGATTGTTCCTTCATGCTGCCTGGTTACCACCTTGAAAGACAAAATCGAAGCCATAAGAACTCCAATAAGCAAACTGGAGGCGGAGTATGAGCCTTTATTAGGCACAACCTGTCGTACGCACGGCTACATCCTCTCGGTTCCGATCAGTGTGAAAATTTGTGGCTTGACTTCTTCGTAAATCCTCGTGTTTTACTCTGCTTACTTTACTTCCCTCCAGACGCCTGTAATGCGGAAGCAGTCTCCGAACATATTTTTTCCACGGTTGAGAAGAGCATGCAAATCACAGCCTACGGTTGCGTTGTCGACAAAGACCATATTTCGACTCATTGCAATTTGTATCTTCTTAACACCGATCCAACGCGCGGAGCACGAAATCTTCACAAATTTCTATGCGATGACCCGTGTAAATTCCAATGCTGCAAAACGTTTTCTCTTACAATATCAAGTGACCACTTGGGAGTTATTGCAAAAAATGTCAAATCCAAGCATTCTCGCAGCAAAATGGTTTTCCGAGACCAACGTGTTCAATTTAAACGAGCTTGCAATCTTGCATTTGATCAATGTGCTTTTTCTCAAATCCTGCACATAAATGACGTCAATCAGGCGGTTTCAGATTTGAGCCATGTCCTCACCTCGTATTTTAACCATTTCTGTCCATTGCGTCGGGTTTTTCTAGGAAAACCGAGCCGCCATTTGTCACACCAGTTGTAAAGATTTTGCTTAAAAAGAAAAACAAGCTTTTCAAGAAAAGCCGGGTTATTGATGCTTTAGCGGTTGCTGCAGAAATTCGCCACAAGATTTTTTTCGAATAACTCTCGGAACAAACAAAAGGGAAGCAAATCGTGGTGGAAGCAAGTCAACTATTATGTGAAACGTGAACAACCCGTCATTGAAAACCACTTCGACGCAAATGAACTAAATTTTCATTATAATCATATTAGCACTAATCTCGTAAACACGATGCCTCAAATCTATGACACACATGGTTACCAACTTCCTGTTGTTCATGTACGCCAGGTGTTTAATTACATATCAAAGTTGAAAAAACTAGTGTTGGCCCTGACGGTCTGCCGTATTGGTTATACCGTAAAAACTCCCATTATCTAGCAGAGCCCTTGACGCACTTTTTTAATCTGTTTTTATCAAGTACGGTTTTTCCTGAAACTTGGGCAATTGGTTGCATAAAGCCTATTGCGAAGTGCCCCGTCCATCTGAGTTTTCTGACTTGCGGCTTATTTGTCTGACTCCTATTATTGCTCGTGTGTTTGAGCGAATTGTCTTTGACAGCTTTGTATCTAAGCGATATCACTCAACACTGTCGAACGATCAGCTCCTACGTGCGTGCTTATCAAGCTACTAAACGATGTGTACTACCTCCGTTCAGAAAATGACTACGTTAGACTTATCACTCTTGATTTAAGCAAAGCGTTCGATTCTATTTCTCATCGTGCTATTATTGATGGACTTCTTAAGTCTCCTTATAACCCCTTTCTTTTAAACTGGTTCATCAGTTTTCTTTCTGGTCGCGTACATTCGACTCTTGTAAACGATCAACTATCTCGTGAACTAACTACCAGTCAAGGCGTTCCGCAAGGGACAGTAAACGGGCCACCGCTTTTCAACAGTGGTAGAAATGACATATCAGTCACAACTGAGTGGTAAAAACGGCAGATCAATGTAAAATAAACTCCAGAAGCGTTTTCGACATAAAAGTCATCATCAGCCAGTCTAAAAAACAAAGCACCTGTAAAACCGGAATGGAAATGGATGTGAAGAAATTACAAAAAATGTATAAAAACTAACATTAAAAAGAATATAAAAATAGCATCAATTAAGACCCGAGTTAGTCATGTGACCAAAACAAACGGACTTAAAAAACCTCACAACTTGACTGTGAGGTACCGCAGCCGGTATTCCTCGCTTGTGTTGAGGGCAGGTCTTCTCCTCGAAATATAAAGCGCTTCTAAGGTCAAAAGTTTATTCGTGTCTAAGCTTCTGTCTAAAATTCTCGCCTCAACTGCAGCCTTGTCTGCTCCGCATTCTTTTAGATGACTACCCACCGGGGCAGAGTCCCTAAGGTGTTCAATTTTTCGGGTGATCAGGAGTCGGACGATCTGTCCAACATAGCAGGAATTGCATCCTGGACAACATATCTCATAAACCACCCTACTCGTCAAATATCTAGGGAAATCTGTTTTCAAAGTGGGAAGACAGGTTCTGAGTTTGCGGGTCGTGAATATCGTAGAAATACCACAGTTTTGCAGCCTTTTCACGAAAATATCAGACACTTTTCCTCGATACTGGAGCCGGACAACTGGTTTCTCGATACTTTCAGGCTTTATTGAATTGGTTGTTGCTTGTGTGGTCGTGTCCTGGTTTTCCTTGATTTTAAGAAGAGAATCTGTCATTATGGTTTCATAAAAAGCCGGAGAAAACTGATTTGCTTCCCAATCATTTTTTGCTTTCCTCAAACCTTTATCAATGGCCTCCCAAGTGGAAGTCGAGTGATCAATTCTGTGCAAGGTGCCCTGAACAATGTTTCTTTTGTATTTTGTTGGCGCACAGGCGTGCGCCAACAAAGACGTTGTAGACTTACTGACATTCCTGAAAGACGTTGTAGACTTACTAAATTCGCTGACGGTTTCACCGCATTGTCGGAAGTCCCATAGGTGAAAATGACTATGCCTGTGATGTTATTAATGCACTCGAAGTCCAGCTTAACTCAAAAAACTTGACGCTGAATCACGGTAAAATAAAAGAGGTTCTGTTATCGTTTAAAAATGTCAATAGCCTAGAACTATTCCTGGAGTTGAACGTGTGACGTCGCGAAAGATACTCGGTGCATTTTTGACGAAAATCTGTCGTTCAAGGAGCTCATTACTGCTATCTGCAAAGCCGCAGTCCCATGTCTATATCTTTTGTTGCGCCTCAAACGTCTGAACTATAACGCGGAAGAGCTGAAATTACTTTATAATTCTTTGGTGATATCTCGACTATCTTATCGCGCGTCTGTTTGGGGTGGTACCTATTCATATTTACGAGATCAAATAGACCGAGTTCAGAACAAAGCACAATTTTTTGGTATTATTGACGAAATTGAATCTATTTGCGAAATTATCCGCAAATCTGACCAGGCCTTGCTGCGCAAAATAACCGAGACCGGGTATCTCCATCAGCTATATTATCTCCTACCACGCAGAACGGATTATGCCGCGGATACGCTGCGACACAGAAACGCTGGAGTTATGAAGACTAAATTGGAAAAACAACTCTGTACTTTCCCTTCGAGAGTTTAAAGAGGAGTGGTCACTTAAATTTGTAAATATGTATTGGATGTATTATCCGATAAAAATAAAAGTTTTTTGTTGTTGCTGTTGTTGTTAGTTATGAAAAGGCTTTATTCTCTCCAATTACAGGTTCGCAGCGAAAACTTACTGATGTACATACAAGAAATCCTGATGGTTTTCTATCTGGATGGTGCAATCTTCTGCGTCAGAAATCAGGCTGAAAATTGTTTTAAAAGTTGTCTGGACGTTTTCACCAGATTCCTATAAACACTTTGTAGGCAACTCTCTTTATCTTTGGTTTGATCCTTTTCATAAATTTTTCAGATTGTGAATGAATTACTCGACGCCACATGATAAAGTATCTGCGGCAAAGTTTTTCTGGTCGACAGAAATCACGAGAAGTCGGCAGGAGGCAAGAATCTGACCAGCATGGTTTGTTTTGTTTTCTTAGAATAAGACTTTGCTCTGCCCTTTTTCACATAGATCAGAATGACAGTTGGTGCCTGTTAGATAGGCCTATTCTGTTTTCATTTTGATATCTGAATTTTGGCTCTTTTCCAATTTGCATCTGAATTTTGAATCTTCTTTTTTGGCTTATTTCCTTTCCCCCACCTACAAATTTCTACTGGTAAAATTTCACATCGTCCGATTGTTACAAAAATTTGCATGCGGCAGAAATTTGCCATGACTAGGCCGTGACAAACATATTTGGTGCCCATGTTTAACCTTGTAAAACCACCGTTATACCATAGGCTTGATGCTTATGTGAGGTGGGGGTGGAGAGGAAAAAGCCGGACAGAATCCTTAATAGTAGGAGTAGTATTAAAATACTCGACTCCGTGTAAAGGAAGAACACAAAAATAGAACAAAAGTAAAAGTTATAGCATAGTAATGAAAACACTGTAGAAAGAAATAAGGTGCAAAATAATTATGTAAGCTTCGACAGTTAGTACAAGCACATTTGACATAGAAAGAACATCAATTTCGGCGTTTTCGTATTACCTTTTCCGACCATTTAATGAAGTGCAGGGAAGAAATATAACGTATGGTATTTTTTTTTTCGCCGATGTTTAGGTACCTCATAAAAGGCTGTAGTGGGTCAAACGAGGTATCATAGAGGAGTCCTTTCACTGTTCTTTCAATTTTTCCTAAAATTATATCTGTCTAGAGAAATACTGTTCCGAATTTTTTCGTTTTTCAAAGTAATGATTTTACAGGCTGGAAACTTCAGACTGAATTTCCAAAACGAATTGTTCTAGAATCTGTTCAATATTTTATTTTTTTTTGGTGGTTCTTATGGGTCATTAAGCAATTCAAATTAAGCACCTTAAGATAAACAACATGAAACCTCAAAAAACTTGCTTTCAATTTTTGCTTCAATTTTTTCTTAATTTTAGATTTTGCTAAGAACAACAACAACAACCAAAAACTTAAATTAAAATAGAAATACATCTATTTTGCGATATATCAGTCGTTGAGTTGCCGAAGGAGACGGTCAGGGAACAAGTTCTTGTATTTTTCTTTCTGTTTTGAGCTACTAATCGGTTACGGAGTTTAACTGAGTAACAGGTACGCTGAGGTAAGATATCTTTCAAAAGATGGGATGGTGTAGAATCTATACGCTCATAAAGTTTTCGATCACAATCCGCAATTATCTTTTTGACCGGAGTGAAGGTCTGTATGATTTCCATTTGTGTCGCTCTGCTCTGTACTGCATCTATTTTATTCAGAAGATAGGCAGGTGAGCCTCCCCAAGCGGACGCTCCGTAAAAAAATGCGGTTTCACCAAAGCTTTGTATAAAAGTTCCAGCTCACTCTTGTCGTACCCCAACTGTTTGAGTTTCAAAAGCAAATATACATTCGTTGACAATTTTTTGACAACTTTTTCAATGTGGGGTTTGAAAGAAACTGTTATCAATGTGTAGCCCAAGTATTTTCAATTCTTTTTCGACTTTGACACCAGTAATGTCAGCCACTGATGCTGAGCGAGAGAATAGGACTTGAACTTCTTTCGACTTCGACGTGTTCAAAACAAAGTTGTTTATACTGCACCACGTAGATATTTGTCGAATAACTGCTTGGGCATGATCTGAGTTGTTTTTGCCTCCCACGCATTGGTTGTTATCATCAGCGAACTTGACTGGAACATACCGCTCAGCTTCCACTACTCGATCACTGTAGGCAGCGTTAAACCATGGGGGCCCTAGCACCGTTCCTTGAGTCACACCACTGTTGGTTGTTCTCATTTGTGAACCTTCATTGTCTTTTGCCACATATTGTTGCCTTCCTGCGAGAAAGTTCGTTAATAGATTGATAATGAAGGCATCCATGCTAGGAATTTCAGATTTTTTCTTGATACTTTCGCATGGTCGAAACATTATGCGCTACATGCACAGGAACCGGCTATCCTTGATTTCGTTTATTTAGTTTTCTACTTTTCTTTGACTTTTGTTAGTTTTTTCTGTTCTGATTTTGAAAAAGTTCAGAAAAACACTAATTAATTTGGTAATAGTCTTGTTATTTTCCAGAATTCTTAAAAGTTTTACAAGTTTTTTGCTGTTTCGAAGACGCTTATTGATGTAATTAATTTTACCAGTTCCTGGAAACTAAAAAAATCAGTTTCATGTTTGTGCTATGTTTGTGTTTGAGTACGTGCTATTTCGTAATAGCTCATAATGTTTCTTTCTATTAATAATTTCTGTTTTATTAACGCGATGCCTCGCTTTGTTTATATGCGGAAGTAAATCATTTGATTTTTTTGTTTATTCTTGAAAAACTCTGTTTTGAGCAGTCTTGCACTGCACCAATACTGTTTTTTAGGGACTTTGCTAAAGAATGAAAAGCACAGTCTGAATCTTGCTGTCCATCTCCTAGATGGAGAATGTCAAACATTTAAAGTGGACAGGAAGGCAATCGGAGCAGATGCTATGGATAGAGTGTGTTTTAATCTGGAATTGGTAGAAATCGACTTCTTTGGCCTTCAGTTTAAAGACAGAGAAAGTGTATGGCATTGGATAGATCTGGCAAAGGAACTGAAGAAACAACTGAAGTTATCGAAGACCCAGGAAGAGGGTGGAGAGAGGATCTACTTTTTACAGTTCAGGGTCAAGTTTTTCCCCTCCCAGCCACAAACTGTAAGGGAGGAGCTGACAAAATACTACTTCTACTGGCAACTTAAACAGGTACATAAACACTGATTTTTAAACGGGTATATGAATCCTGATACTTTAACAAGGTCATGAAAACCGATACTTTTAAAAGTTAAGTGAAAATTTACTCGAAGGCCTGGGCACGGTCGTTCGATGCTCATCATAATTCTGTCTCGTTGCTTGAGGCCTAAGCAATATTTGAGACTAGTAGAATGACGAACAAATTGCATGCAGGTTTTATTCAGAGCGAAACTGTGTTTCACTAAAAATCTCAACAGCTTGTAAGGCGGGGATTGTCTTTCCTTCCTTGTAGATAAACGGTTTTTAAAAAAATCTGGTGTCTTCATCGGAATTCCCACAGAGTTTCCTATGTAAATTAATTGAGGAAGATTGGTCAAATATTGGGATTATCTAGATTACAGACTGGTACAGGGGTAACAATTACGTAATTACTACTTACTGTAGGTAGGATAGTTTCATGGAGACTTGAAACTTCTGAAAGTTTTTTTTAAACAAAAATCAGTTTCGGATCAACTGGTGTCTGCTCAAAGATTGTCCGCTTTTTTTCCACTTCATAAGTTTTGTTCAGTTACTAATTTGAATTTCAAGGATCTTGCTAGGAATTTGCCTGGAATTCCTGTTTGATAAAAACGGGTATTATGAAAGTGTATGGGATTGGGTTTTTTTTATACGCTTTGAAAAATTTTATCTCTTTGCAAAAAAACTTATCACTTCTCAAAAATTATTCTATCGATTTTCAGAAAAGGGTATCGATAGATAGACCGAGTACATTATTGTATGTCTATAGTATCCATTGGTCTCTTTTTGCGTCTCAGCCTTCGAAATCTTTGGGGGGGATTATTTGACCAATCTTTTTGATTTCTGATTTTTTTTTGCTTTCTCAAAAACTATCTAAAATTTTTTCAATTTCAATGAGTAGAACGGACTTGAAAAGCTTCCCTCCATTAACGGCTACACCCAACCTTGCTTTACGCATAAAAATATTGGAATAGTTGGTTTTTTGTTTTTTTTTACCGTTTTTTGAATCTTCTTTATTTTTTCTCGAAAACTAAGCATCTAAACTTGAGGTTGTCGGTTCAGTTGAAATGACAGGTAGTGGGAAGCTCCCTTGCATTAGCGGCCACTCTCAATTTTTACAAAAATAATTTAAAATTCCTCGGTAAAGTCAATTTTTTGAGCGTTTGTTCAATTAAATGAGTTTTACCGGATAATACACTCTCATATCTGAGATCTGGGTTCAATCCAAAAAACTGGATGTAACAAGCGCCTTTGAATACGCGACTGCACCCACACTTTTTTGACTCAAAAAATATGGCCCTCGAAAAAAACAAAATTTTGATTTTTTGACCATTTTTTGAAATTTTTTGACTTCTCTCGAGAACTACCAGCCTTGGCAGCGTTGGTTTCTTTAAATTCAATTGAGCTTTTAGGTTGGTTGAATCTCTTCTGAATACGCGGCTACGCTCACTTTTTCTCGAAAATTGTCCTGCCAAATCGGATAACCTTTCATCGTCACAACAGGCTGTTGAAAGCTTACGTATATAATTTAATATGCACAGTTTTTAGGAAAAAAATATGGTCTCTAACTAGTGAAGGTTTTGGAACTTTGACCGCTATTTGGAAGTCGTTTGACTACTCGAAACTTACCGTTCCAATTCTCAGTTTAAGCGTTCATTATGTTCAATCGCGCAAACCGATATTGGAAATCTTCTCTACTTTACCGGCCACGCCTGCTTTTCGCAGAAAAAAGTTGCGGATTTAGGAAAGTCGAGTTTTTGAACGTTGACAGTTTTTTAGAAACGTCTTGAATCTTCTTAAAATTACCCTATCAAGTCTGAGATTAAAAGTTCAATCGAAATAAGCGGTTGCGCGAATTTTTTGTGAAGAAGCGGCTGCTTTTTTCTTTTCGTAAGAGGAATGTAATGACTTCCAATTTTTGAGCAGCACCAGTGGGTAATATAGATTCTAGCGAGGGGCGAGATAAATTCTTTTTAACTATTACCTTGTTACCTTGGTTTATCTCTGATTTAACAAGGAAAGGCGTTTGCTCTGCAAGTAGCTAAGATTGTTCCAACCGAAACCTTTTGACAAGGAATTTCAAAAAGAGAAATCTTTGTAAAAATCAAAAAATCTTCCTGTTATTATTATTTTTAGAAATGTCGATTGAATAAAATGGAAAATTCAAGAACGAGCGGCAACTATAATTAAATTAACGTAACAAATAGCGTGGGAGTTCTAGTAGAATTGAAGTTGGTTGGTCTGCCGAGAGAGAACAATTTGATTTTTGTATCCAGATCACGACCAGTAGGATTTTATTAAAATAATACACTTGACCTCTTGAAAGATTTTCTTGACATTGTCAAAATTGGTTGGCATATTCTTTAAACACCCAACCTAAGTTTTAGTTCCTTCTCATTGCGAGAGGTGTCGGGAAAATAACAAATTAACATTATGTGAGAAAAATAACCACCGATTGCTGCCGCGAGTTGAATAAAGGATTTCCAGAATTGAAGAGTGGAATAAATATGAATGAATAGACTGATTTAAACATTCTAGGCTCGCGCACCTGTATTGGCACCAAAACTATTTGACAAACAAGACTTGATAAGTTCACTGCACTAAATAAATAGATAGATAATTGCAGAGATACTCAGCATAGAGTGAGTTACCGGTAGCCTCATGACACAAGTATGTCTCGAATTTTCTGTATGGTGTTTTCATTTCAATGCAAGATAAACCTAGATATCTTAGGACACTCAGCTTCTTTTGCCTCCTGAAGTGATGCGTGCAAAGATTCATTTTGCTTTCGTAATTTTCTCATCAAAAGTCTGCTTGCGCTGGTAAATTTGTACAGCCGTTGGCTAGAAGCTGCCATTATTTGGCGTTCTGGGTTTAATGAAATGGGAAATAGGATCATTTGAAAAGCATCTCGTAAAATCGCTACTTTCAAGCTATCAGTTCACTCGTAAGCGATAGGCTTTTTTGAGTAATTTCCCAATTGACGGCAATCATTTTGTTTGGCTTTCAAAAGAGTGATGATGTATATAGGCTTTACCTCCCTTTCATATAGCACAGGTGGACCGTATGTATGTGTTTGTATGTATGTGTGTATATGTATGTGTGTATGTATGTAATTATGAATGTAAGTAAAAAGTTACGGATTTAGGAAAGACAAGTTTTTGAACATTGACCGTGTTTTAGAGAATTCCTAAATCTCCAAAGTTTTCACTCTGCTCACTTATTTTAGTAGAAACAACTAAGGTCCAATTTTTGAAACACGCATGTCCAGCATCAGTTCTACAAATAGAAAAAATTTTCAAAGAATTAGCTCGTCCCTAGTTGTCCATCATCGACACATACGAAAATTTTGGTTCACCTATTTTTTTAAACATCTTTCATTTTTTTTTGTACTTAAGCTTTCATGATTGGGTTGTATCGCAAGTGGCGCGAAGCTCCGCTTCGACTTTGTTGGAAGTTTTTTTTGTAACTTCAAGGAGCGTTCTGTGCATTTGGTGCAGTGTTAACACGCATGTTCGAGACGACAAATCTCAAATTTAGAACTCCAGTTGACATCTGTTTTTTTTGTGGAAACTGAAAATTTTCGAATAATTTAGACTTTCGTGCGTGATATTTTTGCCGGCTTAGGTGCCGAAGAAAGGTTCGGTTTCCTTTTAGGACTTTAAAATTTCTTTAGCTTTGCAAGTGTTTTGCAATCGGATACTACCACTTTTTCCCTTAAATAACTTCAGATGCAGGGGATCTCCACTTCAAGAGGATCTTCACTTCTTGAGGATCTTCTGACATGCTCATTTTCTTGAAAATGCAAGCAAAAGTACTTTTTTCAATTTTTTTTCAAAATCAAGGTTTTCGTCCTAGTTTCTGGTCGGTTTTTATTGATTTTTAAAGCATGAGTTTTGTTCCAGTTCAAACAGTTCTTACAATAACTGAAACTTACAATTTTGTAAATTGAGCATGTCTGATTTTGAGTTGTTTTTTCGTTTTTAATTTCCTTTTTCTTTTAATCATTCAAACAGTTACAGTTTATGTTATATCGACTTATTCAACTTATTTTGCGTGATTTCGAGGGCAAAATATATCCGTTTGGGTTTCAGTTTTGATGGGTCGTAAAAACTTTTCTAAATTTTATGAATTTTGTTATGACAACAGTTTTTGTTTTCGGCTCAACAGGTTTCGACCCAAAGTTTGTTGCCGCTCGGTAAATAGTTTCCTTTTTTAAGGGCTAAGGGCTGTTTATGTGTTTATGAACTTCATCCAATACAAGTTGGAAGTTTTTGTAGCTGTAATTTTTTAACGTTTGTTAAGTTATTTCAAGTAATTTTTTCCAACATATTTTTTCAGAAATTTTATTTAACTTCATTTGTTTATTCCCTATTTTGTAGCGCAATGCGTTTTCGGTAACGCAAGTGTTGCGAAGCTCTGCTTCGCATCTGTGTTGTGAACTGTCTTATGGTGCAGGTAATTTTTTTTCCAGGAAACTTTTTTCATTTTGATAACTTTGTTAATACAAAGAACAATTTTTTGAAGATTTTTTTTTTAATTTTGGATTTGTCATCTCATATGCTGTTAAGCATAGTCATTCATTTTTGTATCGCGGTGATGCGAAGCTCCTCATGCCTGTGTCAAAAAATATTTTTGTCATGTTTTTTTTTGCAAACAATTAAGGAAAAATTGTGGAGGAATTATGTAGGGAGTTAAGTCTCTTCATCGACAGCTGAGAGTTTGTGCAGTATTTTTGTCCAATTCTTCGTGAAAACCGAAAATATTCAGACCAATTGATGTGGACACAGATAATTTTTGAAATATTTACGCTAGCGAGCTTGCGCGCGTTAGTGTATTACTACGAACCTTCTGTTTTTTCTAACCTAACTCGCAAATAAAAGTGTTCTTTAAAAATGTTCACTTATTTGGTGGCCATTTTGCTATAATCACAATCTGTAGCATTGGGAATCATATAGCATCTGTTTTTCCCCGTTTTTTGGCTAGTGTTTGTGATTTACGAAGCGTCCGTGGCTGAGTGGTTAGTGCGTGAGGCCTATAATCTCCAGATCTAGGCTTATTATTATTTCTTATTTTATTTAGAACAACAGCATTTAGAATTTTCCTTGACAACATTTTCGTTTTCGGCTCGACACGAGTTTACCTATTATAATCGAGTAAAAAAATTACAGTAAACATAATTCCAGACAAATTTAAAAAATTTATGTAGGTGTGGTTTTTTCGTTTTTTTTTCGACTTAGTGGTTTACAATGCTATGTTTGTGTAGTAGCTTTACTTCAACTCTGTGTCAAAAGGAATTGAATTTTAAGTGACTGTAGAATTTCAAAGAGCTTGAAGGCCATATATATTTGTTACGAATACCCAGTTATTTTCTTCAGTCCTTTGAACTCATTGAAACTTTTCCAACTGTCTATTGGATATGGTTAATAAATTAGATTATATGCTAAATCAGATCTTTCTATTTTGTACATGGGTAGTCATTCTAACGTCAGAAAGCTTATTTTTACGCAATTCAACACAAACACGTCTTGAAATCTAATTAACCTAATAATTGCATCTTACTGACTGGTTAAGTAGCTCAGGGCCACCGATATTGCGATTAATTGGACATTAGCTATACGCAATAAATTGCTAAAAATTGGAACAGACAAATTTAATTACAAAGAACAATCAATCGGCCAGTTTTAGGCAATTTTTACTTATGCTTTTTGTTTGAAAAGTTAGCGGTTACATTGCTCTTTTTAGTTAAATCTGTATGTTCTTTTTTTGATATTTTCTGTCTTGTCATTCCAGGACGTGGCTAGTGGCTCTCTTCTTGCACCGGAGGATGTTGCAGTGCAACTGGCAGCTCTCACTCTCCAATCGGAGCTCGGAGATTACGACCCCTCGGAGCATGACGCCATTACAGTGTCCGAATTCCGCTTTGTACCCGAGCGACTGCAGACAGTTGAAATGGAAGGTCAAGTTCTGCTGGAGTGGTCTTTTCTGCGTGGTCTGAACCCGGCTCAGTGTGAAAACAGGTCAGTTTTGCAGTAGTTTTAGTGAACATTCAGCCTGTAATTTAAGGAAGAAAATTTTATTCATTTGAAGTTAAATTACGAACCAAAAATAAGTCAAATAAATATAGCCGTTTGCTGTGCAAGTAGCACAGATTTTTCCAAACTCATTCACAAAAAAATTACAAAAAATGTTTTTTTTTCAAGTTAGTTTCGTTTTTTTTGCACGGTGTGATCAGAGGAATATACGAACGCGTGGAATTTTAGGTAAATACGCATTATCGATAATAATTGTCGTCGAGAAAAAGAATAACATCCAAAAAAAAGTTATCACTAAAAACTTTTTAATAAAAAAAATTTTGTTTGTTTTTCTTTTGCTGAAGAACTACTTTTGTTGCCAAGCAAAAGGTAAATGAAGCTGCATCTGATCCTATAGTAATTAGCCTTGAGTAAAACGACGTTTTTTTACTACTTCAATGAAAATTTTTACTAAAAGATTTATTCACTCTCTTTAATCGCTGGGAATTAGACAAAAAATTTCAAACTGCCTTTTCTCGACACTGAAGAAATGTTCTTAAATGTCGCTTGCTTGAATAACGACTGAAATGGCTTATATAATATATCACCTGGTCGGAATAATTACCAGCTCGAAACACAAAAAAGAAAATTTGTTTTGGACTCGGGTTTCAGGGCGTTTTTTTTATTCTCGTAGGACGATAAGGATGGCAGGTGCGGTGGTGCTGATGCTGATAATAATTGGTTTCTTATTATTAATTTAACCTTGCTTATTACAGTTCTGACAAACGGGTAAAAATCTTGCTGTAAAGAATTTTGATCCAACTAAAAAAAAACGTTTTTCTACCTATTTTAAGATACTAGTCTCGGTAGTTGATTATTGCAGTAGGGAACTGGGTTTTTAATCTTTTAACAACTTGTCCAACAAAATCTTATCCCCTACATTGGGCTTTTTATATGTCAATGAATGTAGTGATAAGATTTTTTTCCACCTAAGTCGCAAATAAAAGTGCTCATTTGGTGGCACTTGGTATATTTCAATCTTATCATATTTAAGCTTATTTAAGCATAAAGTTTTTAATGGCATATGTTTTTGCTGCGTTTTTGGCTAGTGTTAGGTTCTGTTTGAAAAAACATGGATTATGAAAATGTACGGGATTTGTTGTGTTTCTTTTTTTTGCGACGCCTGGAAAATTTTTGCTTTCGCAGAAATTTTAATTTTTCTATAATTCTGTACCGAGTTTTAAAAAATGAGACGAATGGAAAAACCGAGTGCTATTCTTTCGGTAGTCTCTTTTCATTTTACCTGACGTTCTAGGGCCTTTAAAAGTTTCAGTAGGGGGTTTTTTTGGCCTATTTCCTTAGAGTTTTTAATTTTCTCAAATTTTAAATGCACATCTGAGATAAAAATTTCAATCAAAAGATTAAGTTATGGGGATCTTTCTTCTTAAATGGCTATTTCCTAAATTCGGTAGAAAAAGTTATGGCCTCAAGCAAGTCCATTTTTTGAGATTTTGGTTAATTTTGAAAACTTATTGATTTTCTTAAAAATTACGCTGCCAAATCGGAGATTGAGTGTTTGAACGAAAAAAAAACAGTAATGCGCATCTCACCTGCGCAAGCGTCTATGCCCTGCGTTTTGAAAAAAGTATGGCACTAATAAATCTCCATATTTTAAAATGTTGCCCGTTTTTTGGAAAGTTATTCTTTTTGTTCAAAAATTAGCCTGCTGATTCTGATTTTGATAGTTCAATGAAAGTAACATGGGGCTTAGATTTTCCCTGCATGATCTGTTTTGCCCCTATTTTCTTTGTAAAAAAGCTGCTATGGACTTCGAAAAAATGCCTATAAGTTTTATCGTTTTTAAAGAACTTTTTCACTTCTCTTTACCGTCACTTCTCGAAACTGCTGGCTAAGTCTAGAATTAAGGGTTCAATCTAAAAAATCAGGGTGCGGGAATCTTGAATCTAAAAATCAGGTTGTGGAAAGCACAGGCTATTCCTATCCTTAAGAAGAAAAATAATGGATTTGGGAAAAGTCAAATTTGATCGATTTTTGGAATCTTTTTCACTTTTTTGAAAACTACCCAGCCAAGTCTGAGATAAAGACTTAATTGAAAAAGCGAGTAGTTGTTTTCTCCTTTAAATAAACGGTTAATCCTCTGCTTAAGCAGGGAAACACTAGGGTTTAGTGTAAAGTCCTTTTTTCAAATTTTGAAAAAGCGTTTCCATATCGGCGCTTAAACGTTGGCCAGAACAGGGTCTTTATAGTGCTTTGCTGGAGCTCGGAAAATCAATTTGGTTGATCAAAAAAAAGTTCGGAAAAATTTTTGAAAGTTTTTTGAAAATCGGTCCCGCCTCGAAAAAACCCTAGATCCACCCCTGATTTATTTGGTTTTAAATATAACGCTGAGACATTTTTTCATGGCCCGCAAAATAAAGTTTTTGCGAATGTCACTATGAAGATACATCGAATGTCTATAAATTTTAGGGAAATTCGCGCTTTTGTTCAAACATTCACAAATTAAATTGATCTCCTTGAACATGATGATAAATAATAATAAAAAAATTTGTTAGATTGCTAGAAATGAATTTACACTAGATTTTGTGTGCTGTGCTTTGTGTCTTGGTGTTTTGATATTCCGGATAAGTTTTTTTTGTGCATTGGTTATTCTGACGATATTCTGAACCTTGCTTATGCTGATACTGGTTCTGACATAAATTTTTGCGTCCCAGCCTGAAATCTGATAATTTATCCGAAAATTGAAATTTAGATACATTGAGAAGGCTAAACAACTGGAGATGTACGGGGTGTCGATGCACGAGGTACTGGGCAAAGACGGGAACCTCTACAAGTTGGGACTGACACCCTTCGGAATGCTGATATTCGACGGAGAAGATAGGATCGGACTGTTCCTCTGGCGGAACATGACCAGACTACACTTCGACAGACGACAGTTGTTCATCCATGTCGCAGAGCCAGAGCAGGAGCAGTCGGATCCTCGTGAGAAGCTGCATGTGTTCCAGTTCACACTGCAAAGTAGCAAGGTGGGTAGAGCTATAGTAGACAGGCAGCGAGCAAAAAATACAATAAACGTATTTTCAAAATAAGTGCGGCGTATTTTAATAATTTAAGCTCGTTTAAAAGAGGCAGCGTCAATTAATTGAGGCGTACTTTGTCTATAGCTTTTATTTTTTTAAGTTTGTTACTCAATTCGTAATAAAGTTATGCAATTCAAACAAATTGCAAGTTACGATAAGGTTTTATGAAAAGGTCATTTATCTGATTTATAATTTCATTAGATCCTAATAAATCGAATTGCAAAAGTTTGCTGGTTTCGAACCTCGAAACTAAACTAAAAAACTTTCATAACTCTGAACGAGAGAGCAAAATTAATTTAAAAAGTAGTATGGACATCTTTTTGATTAGGGATCTGTCCATTTTGTGGATCCGTCTATCAAAGTTGTACTGTAAGCAGGTGTGTAAACATGTCTGGAAGTGTGCTGTCGAGTTCCACGTGTTCTACAGACTCCACAGTGCGAATGACAGTGTAGGTGAAAAGGGGTGGAGCGAGGGGGGGTCGGTGTTTGGAGGCAAACAGAAACACAGACAGAGTCTGGTCCGAATGCAGTCTAAGTTCAGATTCAGTGGAAGGACGGAAGCTCAGCTGAGACAGTCGGCGAGAGTTCCACAGGCACGACCGCGAAGACAGATCCAGTTCCAGAGAAAACATAGCAAGAGGTAAGTCTGTTTCTTCATTACTTTATAGTTATAACTATATTTAATAAGAGTCGATAAACTTAGTTCAGACTCTTGTATAGTTCGTGATGCTTTTCTTTTTCGTTTTTTTTTAAAGGAGAAGTCCTAAAATTTGTCCAAGCTCAAATTTGCTTTTTCGTGGTTTGACCTATTTTGATCTATTTCGGAGTTCAGTTCATTTCTTTTGTTAAAAGGAAGACAAACTTCTCTATCGAACAAGCTTCACTCTTTTCCTTTCGTGTCTGCTAGATTGCAAAGCTATTTTTGTTGTATCGCATTTGATGCGAAGATCCGCTTCGTCTCTGTGTTAGAATCACGAATCACGGCCGAAAGGACATTAATGAATATGATGAATCTCGAGAAAATGGTATTTTGAAATGAATGCATTCAAATTATATCACATGGCTTCAAATTGACTGGGAAGAGAAATACATGAAGTGAAGGGAAGGAACTATGGCGCAGCTTTGCTTGTCTCAAAGGGAAGGCTTGCTGGAGGTCAAGTGTGATACCATTTTGAAGACCTATTGGTCGTGATTTGGATTCGTAAAAAATTCAATAAAAGGCCTTGAACTTTTCCGTTTTGATTTATTTCGACATTCTAGATCACAAATATTATATATATTAAACGTCAGCGTTAAATTGACAGTTCTTTTAAGTGAATGATTTCTTGAAAAATCTGAAAGCGTTATATTACTGGAAGATTTTGATTAGGTATTCGAGAAGGGAGTCGCATCGAATCAGAGAGACAATTCAGTCACAATCTCTATCACAAAATCAATCATTCTCATCATCAGCGGGCAATATTAGCTCACAGAGACATAACAGGAGTAACGATTCAAGTAGCGCAATATCACAAAATCAAGGTCGTAGAAACAGATCTGCGGAAAAGAGGAGCGTCTCGCAAACGTCCCTGAACGCAGCGCGTCCATCTCAAAGTAATATCAATCATAATGAGAGTCATCAGTCGAGTTCCAGATCCGGCGACCAATATAGTGACAGAGACCATATGGGATACCAAACCGCAACGGACCTGATTGACTTCAGTCCATCGTCAACTTCTCAAGAGTCAAGGACGAGATCACATAAAACCGTGAACTCGAGCGACGATAAAAATAGATGTATGGTGAACGAAATTGGTCTATCGTTTAGCTCAGCGTCGGGCGATTCGAACGACAGAAGCGCTGATAGCTTCAACTTGGACCACAGAAACTGGACCCATATATCATCACAGTTACGTAATGTTTCTGAGGCGTCGACAAGGGGAGAGGTTTTAGTAGCTCCTCCACCTCGAGGAATCTCGCATCAACGGGTCATGAATCATCAAAGTAATCGCCATGTGGACCAACCTAACAGCAGACAAAACAATGCAAATCACGATCTTAGTCATACTAGAAATGGGCCAATACACGTGAATCCGAGAGAGAGCTACGAATCAAATGTCAATCATTCGTACAACCCATATAAGAATCAGTCTCCTGAACAAAAAGTGGCAAGTTCACAAGTGTATACTGAAAGAGCCAGACAATCAAACAATCCAGATTTTCTTTCGTCCACGATGATTGACCCGCAAGGAACACTTACGGAACGACAGCGACTCGTGAACAGTGCAAAAGTATCACGCAGAGTAATGATGACGGAAATTTGAAAACAGAATTTGCTATTCGATTGCGTTCTATCGTTTCACGAAATCATATCTCAATTAGTTCTTTGGTCTTACGTAATCATATCATCCGTCTCTAATTTCATATCAAAAATCAAATACATTTAAACTATGAATCTTTCATTTTTAGTCATTTTAGTATACTTTATTCGTACTGAATGGTGCTTTTCGTATTTCAATCAACGACGCAATTTATACTCGCAAGTGAACGTTGCCAAATGCTTCCGATAACATCCGTTCTCAAATTGACTCTATATTTTTATTGAATTAAAACCAGAATACTTCTCGTGAAATACTGCCAACGAAGTAGCGTACAAGCTTCAAGATGTTGATCCAAGACATAAGAAGATCTAGTTTTTTTTAGGTCTTATGCGCCGTTGTTTGGTTCTACAGCAAATTCTTGCTTCTTTGACCGGGTTCCTGAATTTTAACTTTCAACTAATTCGGCAATTTTGTCTCCTCCATAGGACCGTAATTATACTAGCTTTAGACCTTCGTGCCAAAACACATTAGAGACATATTCTTTCTTCAAATAAAGTTGCAGATATATGACGAAAATTGATGGAAACTGAAGCAGTTTATACGCTCGCTTTTCATCCTCAAAGTTTTTCCCAAGTGCTTCTTTGCCCTTGCTACAAGCAAGGGTATTACAATCGTGCACTAGAATTTTTTCCCGTGAACAACTTTGTCCACAAAATCTTCACTTTTTTTGGAGGATCTTCACTTCTGCAGGATCTTTCATCTTTCAAGTTTAAAAAAACTACTATCACTTCAGTAGAAATTAGTTTAAGCCCGCTTCAGTTCTAAACTTTTGCAAAATAATTCTTAATTTTTTTTCGGGTTCGTGGTTTTCGTCCTAATTTCTTTCGTTTCATTTTCCGTTTTTTTAAACGTCGTTTTTTTATCTGGTAGGTTTTTATTGGGGTACCTTTTAAAGCATGGCTTGTGTTCCAATGTAAACAGTTTTTACTATAACTGAGTTTCGCAAATTTTTTAATTTATGTCTGGTTTTGAGTTTTTTTTTGTACATTTAAACAATTTCAGTTTATATTATATAGACTCAGTCAACTATTTTGCGTTATTTCGAGAGCAAAATATATCCGTTTGGGATTATGTGTTTCAATTGGATGGGTCGTAAACATTTCATTTTGATTGTTGGAAGGGTCTGAACTTGTTTGTTGGAAGGGTCACCACATCACAGCCTCCTTTCAACCAGTCTTGTGGCAAAAGCTGTGGTAAATCTTCAATGTACCTAACTGCTATGGAAAAAGACTTAAAGCTAACCAATGTATAATCTTCTGAGCTTCTGTGGATGCCTCGCAGGTCAACCAAAAGATTTCATGTATCCTGGCTTAATGCATACGTTCAATTTCTTAAGAGGATGACTTTTTTGTTGAAATTAATGCACTTTTTTCACTAAATTTGATTACCTTAATCAGTGTATCCGTGTTCCGAAAAGAAAATCTTGAACGTTCCTAACTGCTGTGGAATAAGTCATACGGCTGGCCAATGGTTCACCTTCGCTGAGCTGCGCTGAATGCCTCGAAGGTCGATTGAAAGATTTCATGCATCTTGGTTTTAGGCATACGTTCAATTTCTCAAGAGAATGACATTTTTTGTTGAAATGAATGCTTTTTTGGCACTAAATTTGATTACTTTTATTAGTGTATCCGTGTTCCGAGAACAAAATCTTCAACGTTCCTAACTGTTGTGGAAAAAGGCTTAAAGCTAACCATTGGATAATCTTTGAGCTGCCGTGAATGCCTCGCAGGTCGACCAAAAGATTTCATGCATTCTGGCTTTAGGTATACGTTCATTTTCTTAAGAGAATGACCTTTTTTGTTGAAATTATTGCACTTTTGTCACTAATTTTGATTGCCTTTATCAGTGTATCCGTGTTCCGAGAACAAAATCTTCAACGTTCCTAACTGTGGTGGAATAAGGATACGGCTGGCCAATGGTTTATCTTCTCTGAGCTGCCGTGAATGCAAGTTCCTGCTTCTTTAACAGGATTCGTGAACTTTTAATTGAATCGATAATTCCGTCTTCGCTATAGGGCCGTAGTGATACTAGGTTCTGACCTTCGTGAAAAAATACGTCAGAGAATTATCAGAGAAGCTAGTGGAGAACAATGAATTCAAACCAGATTACTTCTAGTGAAACAATGCCATCGAAGTAGCGTAGAAGCTGTAAGACGCTAGATCCAAGACAGTAGAAGATCTAGTGTTTTTCTGTGTTTTTTATGCCCCATTCTTTTGTTCTGCAAGTTCGTGCTTCTTTAGGGCGGCTAAATCTTCTGACGGGCAGTGATTGAAGTCTCTGGCCTTCTGCGTTTTGAGTCCCAAAGCAGAAATTGCAATTAAATGGCCGATATCGCAGTCAAATTCCGGGCGCCATTCGTCAAAAAATCAATTCAGGTCACCGCACAGGAAAATATTTTTTGCTCAGGTACAGAGACCATAGTATATTCTAGCGTGTCATAAAAATCATCTTTTCCCAAACCCTCTCTACCAGCTTGTTGGGCGTAAGCAAGTACAATAGTACTCACAGTTTGCCCTTATACAATTTATATAACACGTTCATTTACCTTAACCACTTCCAATAAATTTTCAACAAGTCGACCATTGATGCCTATTGCAACACCGTATGTGCCTTCCGAGTTTCCTTACCAGTATTTTCACTTGAATTTTTGATTGCCATGTCCAAAGTTTTTTATGCTGCTTCCTTTGAATTGAGACAGCACATCGATATCTTTCTTCTTTCTAGAGCCTTGCATATCTCTTAAGTGTGTTAACGTTCCATAATAATAGTGGGAAAGAATTTTTGTCTATGGTGGGTTTCGTCCTATACATATTAGTATTAGTCATAGTAGTTGATACCGTGAGATTTTTAGCACCCCATTCCCACTTACTTTCCTCAAGTTGTTTGGAGTCGTGCCCTTTATAGGGCATATTTAAATGCGAAGTCCTTATGGATCGGATGCGCTTCCTGACTTCCAACCTCCTTCTTTTCCCGGGCTTGGGACCGGCAGTTCCATCTTAATAACAAGACAGACCAGGCGGTGTTACAAAACAGAGCAGGCGAAACAGTCGAATCCAACAACAAAAGATTAAATTGAACGACGAATCGACTCTCAGTGCATCATAGAGAGTTTATACAATGGAATCCAGCAACAAACAGAATAAATTGACCGCGGAATTCTTTAACAAATTGTGGAATCCAACAACAAAAGATTAAATTGAACGACGAATCGACTCTCAGTGCATCATAGAGAGTTTATACAATGGAATCCAGCAACAAACAGAATAAATTGACCGCGGAATTCTTTAACAAATTGTGGAATCCAGCGTCATTTAATGGAATCCATTGCAATTTTTTTTTCGGAATTTTGCGTGGAAATCATTTGATTGTGAAATCCATTGACAAAAGTCTCTAAAATACGCATAAGATCTGTCCGTGGAATACAGACGCGTGAAAGCAAAAATATGCGCGTAGTTATGAAACCGAGCTTGGCGTCGTACTGTTTAGATTTTTGTATTACAATCTAACCGCTTTCTGAAAATAGATGTACTGAAGCTTTTCAATAGTAGAGAATCCGTTTTTTACAAAAATTTTGCGCAAAATATCTGAAGTTGTACAAATAATGTCAATGCATTTCTTTTCGTAATCTCTAGAAACATTTGCTTCCCATGTTTCAGTCTCTGTCTTCTTAAAACTAAACTAGTTTTCGTAGAAAGTCAAATAGTAGCGTAGCAATGCTTAAGTTGTCGAAAGAAATCTTTACAAACGTGATAAATTTTGTAGCCAGTCCTGAACAAATTTCAAATCTGAGTTTTAAAGTTTAGGCCGATTTATTACATTGGTTGGCAGTATTTAGAGCAATCATCTCTTTTAGTTGAGATAATTCACATGTGAATTTCAATGAAACCAATAATTGCTGTAAATTTGATTTGAAAAACGGTTTGTATGTATGTCTACACACTACTTACATATCACATCGCTGTTGCTCCACATTTCAAATTCACATCTACTGATGTTCATTATTTATTTGGAGCTAACCTTCCTTCCAATTTGCTGCTTAATTCAAAATTTCTAAATATGTTTTTTTAAACTTCATCGAATTAACAGTCTGAGTTGTTACAGTCGTTGAGTTGTTGTTTTTTCTTGTTGTTTATATTTTTTCTTATTAATTGAGTTTTTACCCTTGATTATACATATCAAATTAGCTACTATTTTTTACGCAACTAGTTGAACAAAATTTTTCCTTCCGAGCTGAGTCATTTCTCGTATATGTAGCTTACGCAAAACCTATTCAGCAACATTTTTTAAATGTTTGACGTCGATGTGACTTTCCGGTTATATTCTAGATGAAAATGGGGTTCGAATATTTGCCCGAAAACTTATTTTAATCTATTGTGCCATATTTTTGCATGCAATATTTTCGCAATTTACATTAAAATTGTTCTCGGGATTTTAACTTATTAAATAGCATTTGATTGAACCAAAAATTGCGTGTTCAACTGAATCATGTCCCGTCACGACAAAAATTTTAGTTCTAATAACTTTGACATAGCTGAGCCTTTCAAATGTGTTTTTTGCACAGCATCAACCAACTCTGATAGCAAAAACGCTCAAGTCATAGTAACAAGGCAAACCCAAGCTGAAGCTAGGGGTACTACAGTATCTGAAATTCATACCAATTTGAGCATTGCGCGAATCAATGTTTCGAAAATTTCAGAAATTCCACCGCAATTGCCTATTGATCCTTTTTTCTGTAGTTATGTTCGTTATCTGAAAAAAGTGCAAATCATACAAGTTTTCTTGAATTTCAAAGAGCCCTAACTCGACGTATTCTTTTCTTCGATTTCATCTACTTTTTTGAACACTTTTCAGGTTTCTTCGAGCTCTTATTGAGTTGACACTTCTAGAAGTTTCTGGTGTTTTTTGTGCATTTTTCTGTCTTGCTGTTAATTAAAGCTGATTTTTACCGTTTTTTTCCTTTCGTTTGCTACTTGTCTTCTACTGTGCCTTCTTTTTTTTGAAGTAGTTTCTTTTTAGCGTTCTCAGTTTCCGCTGATTTGAAAGTCTTTTGAGACAATTGTATGAAATCGGTGAAGTATTTCACAAGTAGCGTAGTTTGTTTTGGTAATTACAAAATGGCTCTTTTGAAGATTACATGGACACAATCCCGCCTCACCCGCCAGAGTTGCTTCTGGAGACATCAGATCCAGACCAGGCGCTGGACTTCGACTTTGACGCAAGTGATCTGCTGGATCCAGTTCCCGTCTCGTCCTCACAATCATCAGTCAATGTGTGTGTCTCAAACCACCAATCTATCCTAAACTCGAACTGTGATTTCTCAATCCAATCCCACGTTTCTTCTCATTCGCAACAACATTCAAATGACCTGTTTGGAAATACAAACGAGGACCAATTCTCCAACCATGAAACTTCATTGTTCCCCGATTCGAACAACAGTCTGGCTAACGCCTTGTCGATGCCAGTTACAAGCCATCAAAGCGGAAATCATGCAGCAGAGCAAATTCCGTTCAGATGCGGAGTTTGTTCGCAACAGTTTTTGGACATCAGGATGTTTGAAAAGCATATGTTATCTCATGGCCAAGGGGATCTTGAAGGTTCCGAAGGCCAAGATCATAATTACGTCTGCCCGCAATGCAACAAGACATACAAATATAAATGGGACCTTAATAGGCATTTTGAGCGGAAACACATGGGCGTACATAGTAATACAAGTAATGTGAATATTGGAGAAGGATCCACCGGATACAACGATGAAGATGGCTTCGATGCCTCCCAATTCATCAACCACTTCGTGTGTAATGCGTGTTCTAGACACTTTGTTGACAAAGTTGAGTTCGAACGACACTGTGTGCAGTCTAGTCGGTGTTCGGCGCTTCTCGCAGAGGTCTCGGATGGCGAAAACGAGGGCTGTCAAAGTAGCGACGACGAAGTATCCCAGACTCGAACTCTGCAGTGCAAAATCTGTGGTCAATGCCTGGACAGCCGGCTTCTATTTAGGCAACATAAGCTAACACATATTACCTTGTTGACTTGTCCGCAACCAAATTGCCTTCAGAAGTTCGTTAAAACTGAATCACTTAAGCTACATTCAATCCAATGCACCTCAGCGTCAAATGGCACTGGAAATAATAATTCTCCCTTGAACATTAATACCAACAATATTATGGCAAATTTAAACAGTAGTTCTATGGGTAGTAATATAATGGATGGTATGTCCATTGAGGGGTTCCGAGGGACTCCTTCGAATGTCGATAATGGGCAAATGATTCATGCGACAGATGTTCTGCCTTCTGCAACTAGTGCGCAAACCTCAATGAGAGTCCTCAACTCAAATCAAATCATAAATCAAACAGGTCAGTTACTTACTTGTTAACCTGAAAAGTATTTTTTCTCGGCACCTTTTTTACCAACTGCCTCTGGGGCCTAAGTGATCATTTTCCAATCTCCCATGAAAACAGTTTAGGGGGGGGGGGGGTGGTGATTGTTCACTTGGTTGGTTTAGATGAGAAATTGTTCGCATACCTTTGATACCGTAAACGGACATCCAATTAGGTTGAACTAAAGTTTTTCTTAAAGTGGGTACACGCCAGTTTGATTGAAATGAGGTGCAATAACCTGAAATCTTTCAAATTTTTGAAGTTCTAGTTTTTGAAGAGTTTCGAAATTTAGTTTCATAGACTTATTAGAGCTCGATTTGTTTCAAACTATTCTCACTTCTCTGAGAAAGAATTCTAGATCGCACCCGTTGGAACGTTTTCGTTTAACTTTAAGTGCTTAAAGCTTGTGTTGTCTACTTTGTTCGTGGTTTTTGAAGTGTATGTTTTTCAGTGAGTGAATCGGTTGCGCGACTCGAGTGTCAATTGTGTCATTCAGTGTTCACGCACCAATCACTCCTCGACAGACATTGTGCAGTGGACTGTAGATTGGATCTGCTCTCAAATCACGAACACTCCTCTGTCGCCGCACAGCACCAGAACCGATCGGAACAACAGTCCTCTTCGCCAGCTCTCTCAGTCACTGGGTCGACATCTACAGGCAGTCCACGGGCAGAAACCCAAATGTCGATGCCAGCAGTCGAAATCATTCCGGACACTTCGTTAGGATCCAACAGTTCTCTGGCTTCAAACGTGCAACCTACCCCGGATCCCTGTGAGATTTGCGGCAAACGATTTGCAACGTTGTCGAACCTGAAGCGTCATATGATGTCGCACTCGAAGATCAGAAATTTCAAATGTCCCTACTGTCATAAAAGCTACATCTACAAGTGGGATCTGACAAATCATATCAAGAAAGCCCATAAGGGAATGTCTATAGACGAAGTGAAACCGCTGTACTCAACCCGCGATTTCTACTCTCAAAACGAGCATTCGGACAACAAAAGACGAAGAAACAATTCCTCCAGGACATCTAATGCTAGTAATACAGCTAATGACAACACTACTTCGCAACCTCAAGCGCCAATGTCTGCATCTGCGAATAGAAAAGAGAGTAAAACTAGTGGTAATATGCAGTGTAAACATTGCGGAGGCGTTTTTGTAGGCCAGAATTCCCTACATGCGCACATGATTCTAAGACACTCAGGGGTCATTGAAGACGCGAATGACATCACCACTGAATTAATGCATTTTGTGGACCATTTCACATGCAGTTTGTGTGGTAAGAGCTTCGCAGACAAAAGATTATACCGCTCACATCTTGCCACTCACTCCCATCCGAATAGCCTCGGATCTGTTGGGGAAAATAACAGTCTGGATCCGAGTGGAGTAGGAACCGGTTCCGGGTCGACCTCAGTGGAAGTGTATTGTAATGGATGCAAGGCGGAATTGATGACCGAAGGAATCGATCTTCCGTCCGATGAAGATGTGGAGTACCTGTGCGATGTTTGCGACAATGAGAGGCGCAGACAGGAACAGGCTGCGGGACTTGCACTTTAGCACAGAATTCCACAATTAATAAACTTCTTCACCACGCGCTGATTTCCGAGAAAACTAAACTCACCAAGTGATCATTTTACCCGCAATAAATCTTTCTATTTCGTCTCATTTGATCGATTAGTAATTTTTAGCCTTTTTTGAGACATCTATAAATTTGACAAGAAAACAAAATGCATGTCTCGATTTTTTCTTTTTTTAACGTCAGACCAGATGGCAAGTTTGATGAGTCAGACTGGCACTTTTTTCTGTCTCTCACTTCTCTTTAGTCTTATACAGTTTATCTTATACAATGTAGTTAGCCTGTTTGTTAATGCAGTTGAATTTGTATTGTTAATTGTCGACATATTTCCTCCTCTTTGAGTTGTCGTCGAAAATAGTCTTTTAAAGATATAAATTTGCATGTTCACAACGTTGCCAAATTATTAATTTAATATTCATTTGAACCCGTGTTTAAGTGCTTCAGAGTTTCGAGTTCGGTGAAGAAATCTGCCAAAAAATTTATTTTTGATCACTGAAAACGTTTCTTAGCTCTACGAAAAAAATGGACTATGTTTCATTATCTAAGCCGTGATTATTTGGCAGTTAAGACGTTTAATTGTCTTAGCCGTTTCTTGTCTTGTTTTGTAATCACTGGCTTCAGTTTTGAAAGACTCTCGAAAGTTTTTTTCCAGTTAATTATTTGAATTTTTGGTTTTCATGTCCTCTTGGTTATTCAATTCAATTCAATTATTCGATACAGTGAAGAAATACATACTTAATCACTCACTGCATCAGGATAGCTAGAACAGGCTTTTCAACCTAACAAGTAGCTACCCTCCGGGATAACTATCACAATTAAGTAACGACAACGGGTAAACAAATCAGAAAAAGTTGTCGACCAGCTGTACATTGTCTAAAATGTAATTTCTTTTGAAAACCTTTAAAAATTTTGACAGCTGTTCTTGAGAGTACGTTTCGATTTTATCGGGTAGGAGTTTATTTGACATCAAAAAATTGAAACATTTAACGATTTTGCATGAAAGGGAGTTTTCCATAGTTTTTGTCCTACAGCGATAAAACGGAATCATTCCGTTAGAAGTAGAACGTGTATTTCGTTTATTACTATAATTACTGACGTTTAGAAAATCAAGAGGTGAACGTTTTAAATATTGAAAAATGGTTTCTTTAAAAAGTTGAGTTAAATAAATTTCATGAACTGTATCAATGCCCAGATCATTAAACTTTTTTGTTATGTGATCGTATTTGCGTTTGAAGAATATAGTACGGAGAATTCTTTTCTGGCAGATATAAATTTTTTCTAAATTTGTTTTGCTAGTACTCCCATAAACAAGCAGACCATATGAAATTATAGGTACCACATATGCCAGGTAGAACTTTAACAGCATTTTGCGAGAAAAAGCTACCCTGCCCTTATACATAATTCCGTTAAATCGGCCTAGTTTTCTGCACACAGTTTCAACATGGTCTGTAAATTTGAGTTGACTATCAATGATAACACCCAAGTATTTGAAACAATTTGTAAATCCTATGTTTTCACCCGCAAGTGAAAAGTCATTATCCAAACATTGTTTACCAAATGGTAAGATTTTACATTTTGTAGAGCTTATCGACAATTTATTTCGCACACACCAGTCATCTGTTTTCAGCAAATCATTTTTAAAGTAATCATTTACCCTTGTTGTTGGGAAAGAAGCAAGAATAGCAGTGTCGTCCGCAAAAAGACTTAATTCCGATTTTGAAACAATTTTATTTATGTCGTTAATGTAAAGTAAGAAAAAAAGGGGTCCAAGAACAGAGCCCTGCGGAACTCCGTACGATATTACCTGTTGCCTAGAAGTACCGTTCGAATTAACAACAAATTGTTGTCTGTTTGTCAAATAACTTAATATCAATTTGTTGAATTTTCCTCTAAAACCGTACGCGCATAATTTTTCCAGAAGAATGCAATGGTTAACTGTATCAAATGCTTTTCTCAGATCAATAAAAAGTGCCAAGCCCATATTTTTTGTCTCAATCGTTTTTCGCATGAATTCAGTAACTCGTAGGACAGCATGGATACAAGAATGTTTTTCGCGGAAACCAAACTGTTCCGGTATTATAATATTGTTTTTGTTAATGAAAACTAGCATTCTTTTATAAATTATTTTTTCAAAAATTTTGCTAAAAACTGTCAAAAGACTAATAGGTCGATAATTACTGGGATTTTCTTTTTCTCCTTCTTTCAGAAAAGCGACAATTTTTGCAATTTTACAAGCATCTGGAAAATATGCTGTATCAATACATTTATTAAAAACGTTTGCCAGGAAAACAGATATGACTGGTGAACATAATTTAATCATTTTAGTTGAAAGACCATCATGACCACTTGAAGTTTTAGTTTTTAAGGCCCCTATTACCTTAAACACTTCATGTTCATCCGTTTTAAAAATTACAAAACTTGATATGTTTCTGTCTAAGTTTTGAGAAGCAGAACCAACAAGTGGCAGAGAATTGCTCAGGTGCTTACCAATATTGACGAAGAAATCATTAAGTAAGTTGGGTTCAATCTCTTTTTGGGCTGGTTTTCGTTTTCCACAAAAACGATTAAAAGCTTGAAACATTTGTTTTGATGATGTACATTTTTCAATTTTCTTATCATGATAGTCTCTTTGAGCACGCCTAATTGCCATTTTTACCTTATTTCTAAACATTCGGAAGCAATTAATTTTCTCTAGTGAAGGTTTCTTAATCATTTTGGCATGAAGACGATCTCTCTTTTTACACATTTTTTTGATATCATTGGTGATCCAGTCTTTGTGTTTTTTCCTTAGTAATGTTTGTTGGGGGCAAAAACGGTCAAAAACATCCAGACACATTTTTGTTAAATCGGTCAACATGTCATCAATTGTTGCCATATTGCAATTATTGAGATTTTGATGCAAAACAAACAAGAATTTCAAAATATTTTCATTTCTGTTCAAGATTTTCAAGTTTCGACCTATCTTAAAATTGTCACTATCATCCAAAAAAGGTCCAATAGAGGCAACTAGCGCATGATGATCACTTAGAGAAGTTTTTAAAGTAGTTACGCTCATATCATATTTACTGATGATATGATCAATACAGGTAGAACTAGATGCGGTTTCTCTTGTTGCTTCACTATTTGATATGAAGAATCCAAAAAAACTAAGTATCAATTTATATTCATCAATTAATCGAGAATTGCGCGACACGTCCAGAATATCTAAATTCATATCTCCCACAATGATTGAGTTCTGACATTGTTTTGAATTCAAATTCACGAGTAAATCCTCAAATTGCGTTAAGAAATGCTTTGAATTGATTGATGGCGGTCGATACATCAAACAAACGTTTAGTTTCTGTTTACTTCCTAGAGTTAAAGTTAAGACAACATTTTCTAGTTCATTCGATAAAATTTCGTGCGAAAAGTCAATTTGATTTTTTATGAAAAATGCTAAACCCCCACCCCTACTTTTTTGACGGTTAACAAAAACTCCTTCTTGGTAGCCGTCCAAGTTATAAAGTTCCAAGGGATCATTGTCACTTAACCAAGTTTCGCATAAGGCAACGACATATGGTTGCCATTTTAGTGAAGCAACAAGAACTTTTAATTGGTCATGATGGTTGCGCAGTGATTGAATATTTAAGAAAAGTATGTCCCCGTCGTTACCCATTAGAAATCCCTTTAAAATCAAAAATAAAGCTTTAACACAGGAAAAAAAGAGATATTTTTCTGATGTTCAGAAACTCTTTTTAATTTTCAGGTTGATCTTTTTCTTCGCTGCTGCCCATATTATCATCGCTAACAACATCACCACTGGTAGTCATTTTCTTAGGAGGTGGAGAATGGCTTTCAATGAGTTTTTCCACCAAACAGCATAGTTTATCAAGTTTCCGCTCTTGTATATCATTTTGCGATTCATGACTATCCGGTGATCTAAAAGCCACGTTCCTTTTCCTTTTCCCCGGAGTTCCCAAAAAAGAATAAGATTTTGGATATTGAACATCGTCGGAATCAGCAGCATTTTGAATAACATCCGTATATTTTTCATTGTCAGTAGTTACTGAGATATCATTTCCCATATAAATATCGACATCCTTCTTGTTATCAATTGGTTGCCATCTGCCATATGAATTGTACTTTTTAATCTGGACTTGATTCTTATGAGTAGATGCTAGTAGATTTTTTTCCCGTCTGCAGTAGTTCATAATTTCCCTATCTTTTTCTGCCAATCGTTCGTTTACATGAATTTTATTTCCAGTTAAATCATCCCAAAAATCGAATCTCTTATTCCATACAGCATCTCGCTGGTGATTATACAAAAACTTGACAATAATCGGACGATTTCGACCTTTACCTGGTAAATAATGACACGCGACGATGTCCTGGGGCTGAATTGAAATATTTACTGACCTTAGTATCTTCACAATTGAATGGACAGGGTACTCACCACCATCCGACACACCATGAAATGTTAAACACATAAATGAGGAATACCTTTCCACTTTCGTAACTCTTTTTTCCAACTCATGATTGTCGTAAAGAAGCCTGTCATTCTCACCCCGTAATTCTATAATTTCATTCTGTTGGGAATCGATCTGTTTTATTAATTGCTCAAGAAGTAATCTAACAGAGTCTCCATTATTCAAATCCGTCAAAGAAAGTTTTTGCAGTAAGGCCATATTGAATTGTTGAAAGCGAACGTATTTTAAACGAAGATTTTATGCAGCAAACGTAAAAAGAACAACGCGACTGTTTCTTAGCTCATTTTCTGTTTCTTGTTATAAAGAAGCGATGAGTGGAGGCTTTTGAAACATCGAATACTTCTGAGCAGGGGCGGATTTAGGGGAAAGGGGGTCGGATGCCCCCTTCCCTTGAGGAATTCGACCCCCTATCGACCCAGAGGGTCCCCCTTTTGTACTATTTTGAAATATCCATTTTTGGCAGCGCATTTGGCTCCAATATATATTAATTTTAAGGGGAGCGCGCGCCGAAAAAACGCAATTTTTTGCTTAAAATTTTCCAAAAATTGCCTAAAAACTTTTCTTGGCCTGTTTTTTTTTCAAAATTTGGCCTGCGGCGCAGAAATTTTGGCCAAAACAGGGTCTTTTTAATGCTTTGGGAAGGCTCGCGAAATCATTTTGATCGACCTAAAAAAAGTCGACAACATACGACCCCGTCCCCCTCGAAGAAAATCCGAGATCCGTTCCTGCTTCTGAGAGTGGTAAAGTTAATGTTTTGTGAAGACTATTTGAAAACACTTCATTTTGTAACCACGATTTTTTAAATGAAACCTATTTGTTATTTCTGTCTCCTTGTTTCACTAATGGGAGTTTCACTAATTATTATGAAAAAAACCTGAAAGCGTTACGGGTCAGGTCGAATGAAGATGGATTCGAAATGGAAGGTTATTTTGAGCAGTTTTAAACGAAAGTTACCTCTGTCTACCTTGGACCAAAGTCGGAAACTTAAGCAAAAAACAATCCGATTATCTGCTACTTGCATAGCAAAGGAGAGTTATCAAGTAGAAATTTCTACATTTAGAATTGGTATCTAGCTTCAGTGGCTGTTTGATCCTTGGGAGGCGTAGTTTTCAAAGAGGTCATCATCATAAAAGGTAGGGCTGCAGAGGTTTGAAGATGTGGTCATTTATGAGCAAATTGCGGTTGATTTCGAGTAACTTTTTTCCAGCTCACTTTATGTGAAATATCCCTGTCGGCAATTTGATCGATAAGTAAGTTTGGCTTTTTTGAGGTATGTGAAAATTGGACAAAGGTTATCCAAACATTTGGTAGGGTACAATGCACGAAGATTTTTTGAGAGAAATTTCCAGTAATCAGTTTTATCTGGGTAATAGCACGTTTGTTTATGTTCCCTAATTTCAGTTTTCAACATAGTGCGATTGTCAGATCCAGATTTACAGCGATTAAAAATACTATTATAGCATTTTTTTTTACTATTGCAACACTTGTCTTACAGACTTTGCCATCAAAAGGGCTATTAAGTTAGGCCAGATGTAAACTTAGTACGATTGTCAGATCCAGATTTACAGCGATTAAAAATACTTATAGCATTTTTTCCTTTCGTTATTATTACGCGATAACTTAACTGGGTCTAAGAGGTGGGATGATAAATTTGTCAATACTTTCAATGAAGTTTGGGATGCGATCAGCAAGGGTCGTGCAATCGGGTACTAAACTTTTTCTCCTGTAAAATTAAAATAAATTTAGAAGAAATTTCTTTTAATTCTGGCTGTCGGAAAGTTTCTGTGTTAGTATCACAGCACCCGGCTATCCTGGTTCCATTTAAGATTAAGACCATTTATCCACTGGGGATAGGACCAACATACGAGCTGTACGGCTCATCACGGCGAACCGCTGTTGTACCCCTGTTTAAGAACTACATGCAATTTTTTTGGTTATTTTTCTGGATTGGGTAATGTTGCTTCACCCTCAAGCAACGAGCACAGATCATGGTGGGCCTGGAACATCCGACCTTTCGATTGTTTAATGGCTGCTAAAAATTGCAAGTGATCTTCAGAACCTGAACCATTCTGATGTTTTAAGCTTTGTTATGCGGTTCTTTTAAGGAAAGAATATATTGCATAGAGTTGAACAACGAGAAAAGTATCTGGTTGTGTAATTTGATTATCAATTAGAAGCTTGAAAATTTTTGGTCTTGGCATTTCACTCTCGTTCCTTGTTTTTGTCGACGAGCCTAGTTTTTTGAAGGAGTCATCAGCAATAACTGATTGGACTGAACCTGGGTAGAAATTGCGCGGATTTATGACGTATGTGCGGTTGGGTTTCGTGAGCAACTTGGAATTGTATTTCCTTTAAAAAAACCTTCACACGTGATCATCAACCTGAATATCATAATTTCTTTTCAGGATGCTGTGCCGCCTCACTTCGTGAAATTTTCCTGCACTGAATTATTAACTCATTAAAGCTTCAAAAATGACGATATAAAAATGGGGTTTTAAAGCTTGCTTTGAAGTGAAACTTGAAATTTTTTTTGTAGACAAAATTTTCTGAAATTGCGTTGAACTCATCATGCAGTACTTTTCAGTAGTTGTGTGCTATTTAGTTTGAAGAAGCTATGGTACTCCCTTATAAGTATGGTCCCGAAAAACTGCCTAAGTTCCCATATAAAAGTCAGACAGAAAAATTGTTAAAGATAATTCTAAGTTTTGCCACTGAAATGATATTTATTACCCTTGCGATAAGCAAGGGTAGTACAATTGGCTACTAGACTTTTTCCCGTAAACAACTTTGTCCGCAGGAATCATTGGACTCCTGATGTACCTTGCTTCATTTTGAGTTTAAATTTTCTAGTGTCGCTTGCACACTTAGCCTGGTGGTAAAGAATACGCCTGAGACGACAAAGTCCAGTATTCGAATCTGACCAGTACAAGTTTTTTTTTTTCAAACGGTAAATATTCAGGATCCAAAAATTTGGGCTATTACTTGTCTGCTTGTTTTGTCGGCCTAGTTGCCACATCTAAGAATCGTTTTTTTTTATCTGTTAACAATTCTCACTGCAATTTCTTTTCGCATTTTTAAAATCCGGAAGCCTTGAAATTTGCTTTTCACATTTGTAATTTTACCAGCTCGATAAGTTTTAAAAAAATTTCATTTTGTTTTTCATTTTTTTAATGTATTTTTTCATCGGCTTAATAATATTAGGCTTAATTAATATAGACTCAGTGGACTCTTTGTGCGTCGTTATGTCCGTGTGTGCTCTGAGGGGAAAAGGGACTTAACTCTTTTAAAAGTTAAGAATTTTTTCCGCATGAAATGTTTCTACTCAGGTTTTTTTGGCTTTGTTACCGCTTGGTTATTATAAATTAAAATCCAATCAACCATCTGGCGTAGAGGTAAAACAGCAGTTATTGATGGCAAATGCTTGCGGTTTGGATCCGGCCGGGCTCTTTTTTTGAACAGTTTTTGTGCTTTTTCGGACTATCGTCCGTCTGTTTATTTTTGTCGGCTAGGTTCCCGTAACTCGATGGTTCAGCTTCATTCCAAGTTGCTGTAGCCCACATGCTTGAGAAGACAAAGACCGGGAGTTCGATTCCAGTTCAGACCTGTATTTTTTGCAAATATAAACTTTTGATTAATTTGGATTATTGTCTGTCTGCTTTTTTGTCTGCTTAGTTCCGCAGAAAGGACTTTTTTGTTTCCATTGGTGCAGGCAATTTTGTCCCAAATATTTTGGTTTTTTTTGCAATTTTTATTGACAAAAACAATTTTTTGAAGTTTTCTTTCAGTTTTTTCCGTTTGATTTTAATCAGGGGCGGGACCAGGATTTTCTCGCGGGGGGAGGACGGATTTTCGAAAAAATTCAAAAATTTTGTCGACCTTTTTTAGGTCGATCAAATTTATTTTCTGAGCTCTCCCAAAGACCCTGTTTTGGCCGAAATTTCTGCCCCGTAGGCAAAATTTTGAAAAAGCAGGCCAAAAAGGCCTTTTTAGGCACTTTTTGGAATATGTTTAACAAAAAATCGCGTTTTTTCGGCGCCCCCCCCCCCCCCCCCCCCTCAAATTAAGTATATATTGGCGCCTTAAGAAAAATTTTAGGGTCCGTCACCAAAAATGGATATCTCAAAATAGTACAAATGGGGACCCTTTGGGTCGGCAGGGGGTCAAATCCATGGGGGGGGGGGCGTCCGCCCCTGATTTTAATCATAGTCATTCATAATTGTATCGCAAGTGGTGCTTAACTCAATTTTAATGGTAAATCTAACGAAGAAGTAGTCACAATTTTTCTTTTGTTTTCATCCCCTTGAAGAGTTTCAAGCAGATTTCAAGTGTTCTGGCGGCACCACACTTCAAAACGAGCTTTTTAATGGATATCATCAAAAACTGCTGGACCCTAAGCGAGTACCGAAACTACTGGTTTGCTTTGCCAACTAAACGCGATTCTGGGCATAAAATGATGCAATAGCTAAGTGCTGGCTAATTTTAAGTATCGTCAAAAATTACCATCGACTGCGACCACGCGCTTGTTCTTATTTAATCGGCGGTAATGATTACTCGCAACATTTGGACTCTATGGATTGGGCGTAGTTTTCATTCATATCAGCTGACAAATTAGCTAAATCAGCAATGAGCTATTAATGGCTGTTGCATCATGCCATCTCTGATTGTTGTTGCAGTTATATGCACCTGTCGAAGTCTCGCAGTATAAATAGGCAAAGTTTGCAATTATTTGCCACTTCGAATCTTTTTTCTTCGGTTCGGAACTCATCTGAAATCACATAAAATTGAAAAAAAAAAATAAACAGAAAACAAAGCAAAATGAGCAATTGCTCACGTTTTTGGACATTTTTGAAACTACTCCTGATTTTGAGTTCTCTGCGGCTCGTGGAGGGAGAGAAATTTGTCTTCGAATTTGGCAATGGAACTTCGGACACCGATTTGTTATCGATTGAAAATGACTGGGAACGAAACTTTGATGGTTTGTTCACATATAGTGGATACGGCGATGATTACTGCTCCTTTGACTTGAAACTGAGCCGGGAGATAAGATTTGCTGCTCAGATGTACGACACCATTTTCGCATGCGCTTCCGGATACATATACTTCGGACCACGGTATCCCGACCCGTTTTTCCCGCACGCGACATCTTCGGACTGGAACGAAAAGGCACGAATGATTCCTTTTATGAACGAAGTGCGACTGGACAGTGACAGAGATGAAGACAGATACGACAACCATTTGTTTTTCCGAGAGATGAGCAGCGGAGATCTGCAAATAATGGCGGGCATCGTAACGGAGCACACTGATCTCAAGAAGAGGTTTGAGCCAGACTGGGGGTTTGTTGTCACCTGGAATGAACTTGAAGACAGTTGCAACTCATACCGGTACCGCTATGCTTACAGGGATTACAGAGAGGCCTATTATGGGAAAAACAGTTTTCAGGCTGCTGTTGTGTGTGATGGTGCCAAAACTGATAAAAACTCAGAGGACGATGATTGCTACGTAATGTATGACTTCTACAGGACTGAAGTTGTCGATAGGGATGAATGTAATTGGGGCATGTTTTGGTTTGAAGAAGGAAAGAGCTTCGCTCGAAGCGGTTTCAAAGACGGAAAGAGTAAGTACCATCTTAGAATGTGTTTTGATTGTCGGGTGTACAGCAACTCAATGTATTATTTAAGGTACTATTTGATCCTTTTACAGATATTCTCTTGGAGCTTCCGCTCTCAGGAACAATTGAAGTGCGAAACCTATATGCGATCTCAAACATCAATGTCCCAGGAGTCTGGCTATTCAAGATCGGTCAGAACGACAGAGATCCCGCGGTGGCCTCGGTGAACCCCTTTGACGTCGCCAACCTCTTGATACGACAAGTGTGCCATGGAGAAGTGTCGCCAAAAAGGATCTCGAATCGCGACATTGGCATCTTCGTGACAATACCTTCTTGCAGCTTGCCGCCGCACCACAAAGCCGAGCTGATTTTCAAAGGAACGTTTGAAAAGGTTATGACCGCTCGGTATGTGGGAGATTTAGTCATCGCGAGGTTTCCAACTGGATGGAAAGTTAATGAACAAATCCAGGTGTTTCTGAGACTGGACGGCAAGACTCTACTGGGATCCAAAACTCTGTTTCTCTACTCTCCCGTTCAAACTTTGAATTCAAATGGCGGTTTGAGAATTTCTACGAGTGGAAGTGGCTCTTCGATTTCTGTTAAACTGCAGATTGACAGCTCGTTCAGCGAACACGCAACCTTGAAGATCATTCGGGCTACTGAAGCAGGTTAAACTTTTCATGAGAAGAATTTAAAAATTGCATTTCGAATCAAATTTCAAACTATCTGAACCACTTGTTTGATGTGTTTATGATTTAGGAGAGAGTGGGTTTCAGCTTGAGACCCAGTCAAGTGTATGGTCCTCGGGCTCTACTTCTATGGACCATACCATAAACAGCGCTGGACTCTTCACTTTCTTCACACTGGTATCCCAAAATGGAGCTAGTAAGTTTAAATTTTGTTTCTGATCTGATTGAAACAAGAAAAGTTGAAGACGCGAAAAACTACAGACTCTTTATTTGCAGCTGTGTATAATTCACCCATCGTCGCTGGGTCTTCCTCTCAAAGCTGTGCTGAATGGGACCAGGAACAATCAGCTCGAGATGTTTCACGATGTGTGGTGGAAGTGGGACGATGGTACGGATGCCCCCAGCGAACTTGGTCTTGGATGCGTCTCGGAAACTGGACACACGCCGACTTCGCTCACGAGGAAGTGCGACTGGGTATCTCTGGGTGGCAATACGACATCTGCTGCAACGATCGGAACCCGTCAGTGCGAAACTACTTGGCTGCCATAGGGTACTGCAGCAATCTCACCTGCGAGTTCAACCCGGGCGCGAATCTTTGCATCCGATCGCCTAAAGTGTCTTGCTATGACGGATCTTCTAGAGACCTCCTCTCGGTCTCAAACCAATGCTGTTACAACTCATCCGGAGACTTGATTCTTCCAGGAGAAAGTGGAGCCGGAAGTCTGGACTACCATGTCAACTCCATTCCGAACATGGCCAGTCATTTGTGGTCAGAACTTGATCCATATAAGAAATGCTGTATATACACTAACGATTGTGATGTCTACTATAAACACAGACCGACTGTCATCGGTTCGTACTGGCCTCGAAACATTCTGATCGGCCGGGGAGATCCGGACATCCAAACTGTGGATGGTCTAAGCTACCCCTTCATGGGTCTGGGGGTTTTTACTATGTTGAAGAGTGACCTCAAAGTGCCTACAAACTTTCAAGTCAGTACTCGACGGGTGGGAAACGGGACCGTTTTTTCGGGATTTGTTATCACTCACAATGATAATAAACTAGAGTGCGCTATTAATGAAAATGCGACATTCGAAGCGGCCATTAATGGCGAGAACCTGACTTTTGGGGACTTTGTGAAGGAGTACACGTTGAGTAACATATCGGTGAAAGAAAGCGACGACTTGAAAACATTCACCTTTGAGTTCGTTCAAACCGGTTTGGTAGTGAGGGTGGTGATACTTCAGGATTTCCTGAATCTGATGATTTCAGTACCTCCGACTTTCAAGCACCACATGAATGGACTAATGGGATATTATGACGGAAATACAACCAATGACTTCACAGCTGCAAGTTCGTATTCAAAATTAAGTTCTCGGTTCTCAGTTTTTCTTTAAATTTATCTCTATAGACTCGAGTTTTAATCAATTAGGTCCTCTAATAAAATTTTATATAAATGAATTTCTAAAAGATCATGAATCAATTATAGAAGTTTTGCGAGAAATCAGTTTTTTAAGATGGTCAATCGGTTTTAGTAATTTCTATAGTAAATTTCGCTGAAGATCATAACTCGATCGCTGCAGTTTTGCGAGCGCCAAATTTGAAATGTTTTGCTTTGCTCAGATGGAACTGTGTATGCGAACGACACCGACCACGCCACTTTGCACTATGGGTTCGGGGAGTCTTACAGAGTGGCGAGGGACGAGTGGCTGTTCGCGTCACCGGAAATAATCGTAGTGGTGGAGGCGGATATCGCAAACGGAGAGCCATTCACCCCAGTATATGAGGCCACGTTCGAAAGCGAAGAGCAACGACAAGCTGTCATGGAGGTGTGCGGTTTTAGGACTAAAGTTTTTAAATTTAGGTTGCAATTAGTTAAATTAGTTTTTTAATTAGTTAAATAATTTAAGTAGCTTAAATAAATTTTAAAAGTGTTTAGAGTGATGATTAATTTTGTGATTATTTTATCATAATTTGTCGCTTCCTTATTTGTACAAATCAATTCGATCAATTAGAAAAACAAACGACTAAATCATATTATCATTAGTTGAGGATTTGATTGCAAGATTTGAGTTCGAGTGTTGAAATAACGTTATTGAACCGTGTTATTGTTCAGGCGTGCAAGAACGACACTGCTTGTATTCTGGACGTGGCGCTGACAGGCAACATGAGTTTCGCTGTCGTGTTCGCCGAACTGGAGTCGGAAATTGAGGAGGCGTCGGAAGCGAGCGAGCTGTTCCGAGAGAGTGAGCCCGAATGGGCGAATTGGGAGGAGGAGGCGCTGGAGGAGTGGGAGAGGTCAGGCGGGAGGTCAAGTGGAGAGAAAATATCGGGCAAAATGTCAGTGGTCATCGTGGTCCTAGTTGCAACACTTTGGTCGGCCATTCATTGAACTAATGAAACTGCATGTCTACATCGGAACTAAATGAATAAAACTCATTAATCGAAATAGAATTAATTGAACTCAGAATGATTGAGTTAGACAGTTATTTTGAACCTACTATCGAGAAGCTTTTGTAGTCATTTTTGGATGAAATTAGAAAGGAAACCAAAATTAATCATTCGGTATAAATGATTCCGATATCAGCTGCATTCTTACGGATTGCATCAAATTCGTTAAATATGATTTATAAATCAATTTTTATTGTATATATTTTGATAGTGTCTATACACCTTAAGTCAAAGTTTGTATTTAATTGAAATCTCATTTGTTTATCAACTATCCTGCTTGAGTTTGGATCTTCCCCGGCGGACCTCCTTCCCCCCTCGGGGGTTCAAACCCGCAGGGGCGGATTTAGGAGCAGAGTATTCGACCCTTTGACTACCTTAAGGGTCCCTTTTTTGCCTTTTTTAGACCTCCATGTTTGGCTGGCTGGCCCAAAACTTTTCCAAAAGTGCTTTTGACGCCAATGTATACTAATCTTGGGGAGCGCGCGATTAAAGAACGCAATTTTTTGGTCACAACCGTCCAAAAAGTGCCTAAAAACGCCTTTTTTGGCCTGTTTTTTTTTGTAAATTCGCCTGCGGCGCTACAATTATATCGAAACGGTCTTTTTAGTGCTTTGGGAGACAGGAAATTGATTTGGGCTACAACATAAAATTTTGAAAATCCGCCTTCCTCATCAAGAAAAATCTACATCCGCACCTGAGCTGCGGTAAGCGTTGTTCATTTGGTTTTCCTGACCTGGAAACTCTGACCTGACATAAAAACTCTGACCTGGAAACCAACTTTGATCACGTTGAGACTTTTATCACATTTTTCATGATATTTAAAGTTGAAATGATTAGATTTAATGTATTTCAGTCTATGAAAAATACGTTGAGGATGTCCTTTAACTGCGAAAAGAAATATTGAGTTTTTATTACAAAAACCATTGTTGAAAGACTTAATTGTTTCTCCGCTCCGCTTCTTGGAAAAGGCAATGGTATGTTTAAATACTACATACTCATATTCTTTATCTTTCACTGGCAATTTTGTATTGCTCCATTCATGTTTTCCATAAACGCAGGAATCCATTTTGTTATGTTTCTAAATTTGTCAGCTTTTTATCTGATATTTTATCTACCATTGAAATACCTTTTTTGATGTATTTTGAATTATATTTCATCGTGTTCAGTTGATAAACTATATTTTCTTTGCCTTCGATAGATTGTTTTTTTTTTATTATGATGGTCGGCTTTGGGAAGCCAAGTTTGGAAGACTGTGGATATCGCTTGTATCAATTGAGCAATATATCCTCCCCCTCCACGCAAAATGGCAAAAAAAAAGCGTTATGAAATGGAAAGCGAGCAGGTTATTGAGTAGTAAGCATGCATTCGATCGTTTCGGCGAAGAACAAAATTTTAAAAATATCAACCGTAGAAGTTAGCTTCCATGGTTGACGTTTCTTTAATTTCGTAACTAAATTTTAAAATTAATTCACTACAACCTTAATAGTGTACGTAATTGCACATTTTTTTTGATTTCAAAGGAAAACACCGGCTGATTGTGCTAATCATCTGGTCATTTTTTCCTACTTTGCTGCAAGTTGGTGTTTTGACATTGAGTTTTTCTGTTTCACATTCATTTAAATGAAATAAGTTTCATGTGGTTATACGCATGCCACAAACAAGACTGCTCATAACTTAAGGCGAAGCCCATAATTTACGATTGACTCTGTTGGCCAGTTGAACAGTTTTTTGGTTGAAAAACTGATGATATAATCGAAAAAAAGGGGAAAATTTTTTTTTTCTATTTATCCGCCACACCCCAGTGTTATTATTAAAAGGATGAATTTATCGTCTTGTATCTTAATGACTCGGCCAAAAGATTTTCCTCAATTTAGTTTGGAGCGCATTAATCCGCCGATTACGCGTGTGTTAAAAACGCAATTTATCGAGCGTTAATTCTCCCAAATTGGCAAAATTAGGGTAATTCATATCACTTAAACCTTACAGAAAAAAATAGTAGGTAAAATAGCTTTTAAAATTTGTGCTCAGAAAAACAAGATCTTTCGGATGGTGCAAAAAAAATTTGTCAAAATTGCTAAAATAAAAAGTCGAAACTGAATAAAAATATCACACCAATGAAGCATACATATTCCACACTTTCTACAAAATATTTCCAATTTTCTGATTTTTCCGGCTGCCCCTTAGCTAGTCTCGATTAGTTTTTGTTAAATAAAGTTTTGATGGTTTAGAATTTTTGGACTGCCACCAAAATCAAATATAAAGTGCTAAAGTTTAAGTCCAGTTTAACTGATGAATTAGTTTGTCTCAAGGCAGTTTGGAATGATAATAAAGGCGGGATAATTCGCCGTATTAATTAGCGCGTTTTAAAGTATTAACTATTATTAGAGCGAGCACTTCTATCGCATCTAGGCTAGTGGCAAAGCATACTCGCTTAGCAATCCGAATGTTTCCGAATCGTGATCTATACGCAGTCAACTTGTAAAAAGGTTTTGAATAAAAAAAATCACCCAAAGCATATAAATTCAATACTTTTTCGAAACAACTGTCAGATTATTTGTCCCAATGCACAGCCGAACAAATTTCTCCACGATAAGGCTTCTTAAAACGTATCGGCGGTCAAACCTGTGGTAATACTAGTCATTGCATTCCAGCTGTTCGTTACAAGCAAAAAAACAAGAAGTTTGATTTCGCAAATCTCGAATTGTTTTTTTTTCAAAATCTGATTTAGTCATGGCTCCCCCCCCCCACCTCCAATAAGCATCAATTTTATAATGCGATGAGGGGTATTTCAAGTTAAAGTATGACCAGGGGCGGATTTTGGGGGGGGGGTGGGCAGGAGGCCGACGCCTTCCCTCCCCTCCCCTCAGGGATTCGACTCCCTGTTCACCCTAAGGGTTCACCTTTGTACTATTTTGAGACATTCGTTTTTGGTGACGGACCCTAAAAGTTTCCTAAAGTCGCGTTTGGCGCCAAAATATACTAATTTTGAGAAAACACAATTTTTTGGAACAATTTTTCCAAAAACTGCCTAAAAATGCCATTTTGGCCTGTTTTTTCGAAATTTTGCGTGTGGCGCAGAAATTTTAGCCAAAAAAGGGTTTCTGTAGTGCTTGGGGAGCTCGGAAATTCACTTTGTCCGACCTAAAATAAGTCGACTAAATTTTCCGGATCCGCCCCTGAGTATCACCAAATATGTTTGTCATGGCTTAATTAGTCTGCATGCCAATTTTTGTAACAATCGGACCATGTGAACAGTGAGTTTACTAGCAAAAATTCTCAGTTGGGGAAAAAGAAAAACAGCCTTGTTCTTGTCTATTTAAACTTGTTATTTTTCCATTTTGATTTCAACATTAATTTTTTTTTCATTAAATTTCCCGTTCTTGAAAATGTTTCGTCCCTGATACTACTGTGCAGAATATGAAACGGTTAATTCGCTAGTTCATTTACTGTCGAAAGCCAGTTTATGCAGTGTCTGTTTTAAAAATTTTAATGATATCTTTTCGCGGCGGTGCCCCTCATATTTATTCAGTTTTGATTGCTCCGTCTGATTCTTTAACACTTTGTATTCATCAATTTTTCCCTTTGAATTCTACACCAACTAAGATCTTTTATTGTCTAATTAAGGAAAATGATAAAATCGTTCGTTTTATGATAAAACTTTCATAGTTATGTCATTACATGAGGTCTCAGCTAAACAGGAATTTGTTGATCTCTTGGGTCAGATATAAACATTATTTTTGTTTGTTTATCCACTTTTTTTTAAACAAAAATTCAACTAAGTTCACAAAATTTTGACAGAAATGTAAACTGAAATTTAATAGTTGCCATACAAATTTTTTGACAATTTTCGTTCGTTTCCTTTTTTGTGACTTCCATTTCAAGATTGATGTATCAATAATCATATTTGTCAACTTAGTTTCATTTTTGTTGTCATTTTGCTAATTTCATTCCGTTCAAAAGATGCATTGTGTATTTCAAGTTGGTTTTGAATTGTATTGTCAACTTTTTAAGCAAATCAAAAAGAGAATTAAAACTGTTTTTGCTTCGTTGTTCATTACTGACAAAAGGAAGGTGCTGATAACTTTGACCGCCACTTGCGTTGTTCTCTTTTCTTCGAATAGTTAATGCCAAACTTTAAATGTGATTCAATTTGTTGGTCGAATATTAAAGTTTTTTGATCAACTTTTATACAGTGAGAAAGACGAAATGTATTTAGTTTTGAGAGAAAAATTGAGAACAAAGCTTAAACTTGAGTGAACAAAGCTTAAATTGAGTTTTTTTTTTGCTTTAAGTATAATCTAATTTAAAAATTCACTGATTTAATAACTAGCCGATTTCAAACAATGCAATTGAATAACTTTTTTGCAGGCTTTCTTAAACTCTGTGGGCTTTCTTAAACTCGTTCCAATTAGGGCTTTCTTAAACTCGGGCTTTTTTTGCAGGCTTTCTTAAACTCGTTCCAATTAAACTTTCTTAAACTCTGTGGGATTGTGTTAAAAGTTCTTTTTGATATAATACATTAAGATCTTGCCCAAGTTATTGTTCAACCAAAGATGTTGAGCCGACTTATAATTTACTATTATAATTTAAAATAGTTTAAATTTTGGGCTTCCATTTCGCGCATTGCCTTATTTCGTTGCTGGCAAGTATCAAAGCAAGTTTTTTTTCTTCCTTTTTTTGTTTAAAGACAACAATATTTGAAAACATGCGTTCAATATTTCAAATTTTAACTGTTTTGCCGAATTCAATCAAATCAGCCCTGTATTATATACATCGTCCGGAAACATATCATAAAAAGATTAATTGTTTGAGGTTGGAAAACATAAGGAAGACTGCCCTTTTGGCTTGAAAAAGTTGATAATTCAATCAAACTAAAAAAAGGACAAAAATTGAAATTCTCAAGTTTTTCGTTTTAATTTTCAAAAGAAGTGACGAAACAATTGTGTTCGGGTAGATTTTTCATTAAACAATTTTTGTAGTTTTATCTAGCAATTTTCGACGGCACTTTTTTATTTCATTCGAAAGATATTATTGCTCTGGGCTAAGTTTTGAAAAGATAAGTCTTTGATCGTTTTTTGAAAAGTTATGTGAGTTGAAAAGTTGTCAATTAGTTGTTATAGTATAATCAACGCGCGAGATTTTTGTGCTTTTAACGCGTAAGCAAAGCTTTACTTCGTCTTTGAAATCGTTCCAAATTAAATTTAGGCATGCTTTTCGGTTTATTCATTACTTTGCTCTACGCGGAGTATATGACTTTGTACTTACCATAGCATAAGGGATAATAAAAGAGAAAAAAATCCAAATTCCATAGACTTTAATAGGCAGTCGAAACTGTCAGGGTTTTGCCCTGATACGAGCAGTTTTGTTCCATTTTTTCTCCCACACGCTGGCCTATGTAAAGTCCAAAATTATATATTCTGCATCTGCTACGGTATGATAAATGCTTGCCTCAGTTAGGTCTAAAATGATGTAATTGGCTGCTCAATTGTCATTAGAACATTAGGACTTTCGTAATGAAACTAGCGGAATATTTTTGCTCGGGGTGGTTTTTTTCCTCAGACAAATTTCGTTTTTTTAACTAGCCAATTTTGACGGAATTTTTGATATCATTCAAAACGTATTGCTATCTTGAGCTTGAATTTGAAAAGATTTTTTTACCTCTGGTCATTTTTCGTTAAGTTATGGGGGTTTAAAGATTATCCGTCTTAGAAATCGTTCCAAATTAGTTGAAGGGAGCTTATTTGCCATAATTTCTTTGTTACTAGGAGCAAAAACGATCATTTTGTACTTTATATGGCGTGTGGTGTGATGATTTTCCCAAAAAATCTCAATATAAAAAAATTTGATTATATCATGTTATTAATGCTCGACAGTCTTAAAAGGCAGTCGGAAAATTCAGGTCTTCTCGCTGATACGAACAGTCTTGTCTCAGTTTGAATTATATCAAATTCTTTGGTCAAAACCTTTGAAATTCAAAACCCCACATTTTTGTGAAAAATGATACAAGGTAAAATATTTTCCTAATTTACAGTATCAATACCTTCCAGACTATAAAAAAATTAAAATCTATATAAAAAGATTTTATGAAAATTGCCAAGTTAAAAAAATATGGCTGGGGAACAATTTCCAAAGCATATCTATTCCGTCACTTTCTTTGAAAGTGTGAATAACAAGCGACAGTGCCTAACCGACAAGAGAAGTGCAAAACACATGCAACTCATGCCGAATGTAAGCGCAGCGGAGTAAGCACTCTTTTTACGAAATCTTTGCTACCAATTATGGCCCGTTACTAACTTATACAAATTGTCACCTGTTTCGAATTGTTGCCCAATTAATTTTAGCGTTTTAGATGTGCTCAGAAAATGTATTTCCGTTAAGTGGGACGAGCGCGTTTATGACACAAGCTATGGCCTATTTAGTGGGTCAATTAGATGTATGGTATTAACTATGGCCCGTTTAGTGGGTCAATTAGATGTATGGCTTTAACTACGGCCCTTTTATTGGGTTGATTGGATGTGTGGCATGAACTATGGCCCTTTTAGTGGGTTGATTGGATGTATGGCACGAACTATGGCCCTTTTAGTGGGTAGATTGGATGTATGGCATTAACTATGGCCCATTTAGTGGATCGATTGGATGTATGGCATTAACTATGGCCCTTGTAGTGGGTCGATTGGATGTATGGTATTAACTATGGTCTGTTAATTGGACAGGTGAGTGCATGGCATTAACTATGGTCCGTTTAGTGGGTGGAGTGTGCCCATGGTCTGTTTCTCCTGTTTCGTGGTCTTCCTCTGCCCCCCATTTTGGCCTTGATGAAGTAGGCATTTCTCTTGAACATCCTTCTTCTCATCGCCTCCATTCTATCTTCTCCATTTTCATCTATCACTTCAAACACAGTTGCAGAAAAAAACACGCATTTTTAAACCACAGTAGCCGATGGCTGTGCTAGCAAAACAGAAAGTTCCGACCCCATTTATGAAAAAACTGTTTAAGTTTTAATCAAATTTGAGTCGTTTTTTTTGTGTGACGGATGATGATAACAATAAGAATAAACCAATTTGAACCGATCTATTCTTTTGGACCAAAGAATTTTTTTTTCATCATCTGAAGCTTCAGACTTGTATGCAATTTTTTTAGTTATGATAATTACCTTAGTTATGATATACTTGGCCTAATTTATCAAGTTATTTAAAATTTGGGTCTTGTTTGGGTTAAATAGCGTCGATTTATTAACAATTTAGGATCTTTTTGTCTTAGGAGAGCTCCAAAAATTGGTTTGGTCGATAAGAAAGAAAAAGAAGCAAAAAAAGCGTGTCATATGATGGGTAGGAAAGAAAGGTGAGCTAGTTATTTTTTTGCAACTGTCTATACCGGCCAATCTGCCATCTTCTAAATTGTTTTCTGTGGGGTTAGAGGTCAAGTAATCGTTTCCCATTTCCTGCCAATTGGGCTCTTCAAGGTAAGGGTACGTTGCCGTGTTTGCTGGTGTTTTTAGAGCAAAGAATCGGCTACTGTCCTCATACGCATAAGCAGGTTCGTAGTTGTTGAGCTCAAAAAATCCAGCGGGTTGACCTTCGTTTTCTAAACTCAAAGTATATCAACAATGTTGGGTGATTTATTTTGCAAGTTATCCAATTTTTAACCCAAGAATGGACATCTTTGAAAAAATTTGGAAAGCACATAAAGGTTGTCTCTCAAATAATTGGGATATTAATACCACGATATTGCCGAAATTGTGCCATTTTTTTCCGAGCCGATAAAAAAGTTTTTGGTAAGAAAACTTGATAAATTAATCGAAATAAAATGAAAAAAAAAAATCTTTTTTTTTAAATTTTGTCCACTCACACGATATGTACAAAAAGTAAGATATGTATTTGCGTCTCGTATGGTATGAATAGGACCAAATTGCTGGCCTCAATGCAATTTGGAAGGAATTCGGGGCTCACGCCTGTGGTAAGCCCGTAATTTATTATCCACACATTGCGAGGCCAAACTGTGCATTCTCTGCATTGTAAGCGGAATCCGCAACAGGCCAAAATCAGTTTTGTCGCGGAATCCGCAGCATTACTACTTTTCTTTGATCTTCTATGCTGTTTTGGATTCCACAAACAAATACCTAAATCATTGTACCGCTCAAAATTGGTCAAATAAGCAAACATTCAAACCCTCATAACTCTACAGAAAGTTATCACTTACATTTTTTTTATTTTGAGCTCAAGACAATGATATCTTTCAAATAGTACAAAAATGTAGTCAAAAATGCTTTATTCCAAATTCGATGTTGACTGAACAAAACCACATCAAGCCTGATTATTCTTCACTTTCTGCGAAAGTCAGAACAAAAATTTGCTTACTATACTTCAATTTAACACTGAAAAAAATAGCTAAAATTATTTATCTCGAATTGGTGATCTTGGAGTTTGACAAATTCTCAAAACCATACGAAAAGATCGTTTTGCTAAATTTTGAACTCAAGATATCAATATTTTTTAAATGATAAAGTTAAACAGTTACTTAATCTACTAAACAGCTTTTAAAAAAAATTCACTGAACGAAAAATTTGGATAGTTTAGAGAAAGAGTTGGTAAAAATTCACCAAAATTAATGTGAACAGAAAAACCACACCGAGCTTAACTTTTCTCTCTATCTTTTTGTACTCGTAACCTGGTAGTTGCATTAAATAAAAAAAATGAAGAGCCTTAAATTTTTTGGCTTGTTTTGTTTTTTGACGAATCTCAAAAGTGGAAAAGGTCGAAAGTGTAGAAGGAGGAGTTTTTGCTAAGTACAATATTGGCACTTTTCCACATTCCCTCCCAAGTTTTTTAATATATTTTCTCGTGTTATAAATGATAAATACGTGATTTGATAATCCAAAGCATACTGAACAAAATTATTCACACTGATTAGTTTATTAACCACGCAACTTCTCATTCATTATACAAGGTATTTTTGATTTTTCAAAACTATACTGGGCGACATTGAAAACGCAATAAAAATTTTTCAATCAGCTAAAAGTGTTTTTAAAGTGAATGATTTCAGAATTTGCGAAAGTTGCGTGCTTTCTGTGATAAATAGCAACAATAATTGACAACTTGCCTGGAAATTAAGCTTAAGATAAAAAATTTGGGCAAAAATAACGTGAAAAAAGGTCTATGATTTATTTAATTCAACTTTTTGAATAAAGTTTATTACCTTGATTCCTTCATAGTTCTGAAAAGCTATTGCCCTTTTGAGGGCAACAAACGAAAGAAAACTGAGCTCGGCCATAAACAGTTTATGTTCAGCCATAAACATACCTTTTTCGCTGGATCAAAACTGGGTTTTGCTGGTTAATTTCAGGCATAATTTGCTTTCAACTTTGCAAAGAAATTTGAATTCAGTAGAGACTGAAAAGTAAAGCAGTTGCTGAAATGAGATCAAATTTGCTTCAAACGCGTTAGTCGATAAAATTTCACAGCTTCAGCCATTTTTACTTTAAGGAAAAAAGTGAGCAAAAATCTTGATGATGCGTTTTAAATGTCGCCCAGTACAATTTTCAAAAGGGGGAAAGTTTAAAAGAGCTCAAAATTAACCAATAATTAGTCCTTGGTAGGGTTAGATAATACTTACTATTTATCAAGAATGGGGTAAGGGTTAGTTAAAGAGTTTTGAAATGTGTGATAGACCCAAAATTACCTTTGGCAACTAGAGGCTTGGCGGAAGTGTTCGGTGATGTCGTCGAAAAGATAACCAGTAGCTGGAAAATAATAGCAGAAATCCTTGACATGGAACCCAATTTACGAGAAGAATTCTGAAGTTGCGATTTCATTTTTAAAAACACACGTTTTTTCTTTTCTCCAAATTTTGCTGGTTATAACAGAGGTTTAATAATTGATTTTGACTTTTCTGAAACAAGTCAAGCTGCTTGGTTTCTCAATTCTTGATTGGTTAGTAATAGTAAAGATGGTATAAGGGTACTATTAACGGAATGTTTAGTGAAGTAAAACCCACAAGTGCTAGCGCCCGTTTGCCTGATTAATTGTGAACAAAAGGTATCCCAAGCAATTTCTTTTTGCGACAGAAATTAGTCCAATTTTTCGCTAAACTGAGCTCAACTTCTGAATTATGTATAGCCTAGTTACTTATGCAGATTAAAGAACTTAAGAATTCTAAATGTTACAGATAATTAAAATGTTTTACGTCCAAAATTTATTAAGTTTGGTCAAATGATCGGGCAACCGTCTAATGGTTAAAAATCAAAAGCTCGTTTTTTTTTCAGGAGAATCAGCTTGTTTTTAGGGCTCCAAATGAAAACTGAAAAGGAAAGCAGGATGCCTTCCAACTATGCCGATTACCTAAGTATTTGCTTACTGTTTTTTGACGTTTTCTCAGATCAGATTCCAATCTTATAGAGTGAAATTTTTGCCGAAGGCAGATCCGAAACAGTAAGAAAATCACAGCAAGCCTTCCAAAAAAAGTAACTCCTGCCACTAAAAGTCCAACTGTTAAACTAAACAACGAGAAGAATAGAAGCTTTTGTACAAAAAATTTTAAAGTTTGTTTAGCGCCCTAAATTGGAAATAGCAAGCGGGCTAATTAGCGAAACGGAGAAAAAGTCAATCTGCAATCTAATCCCGTCAAATTAGGTTTACAGTTGAAAACTAGATCGTAAAAATGGCCGTTGGTGCTGAAATGTTGTGAACAATTTCTTTTGATGGAGCCTACAGATCAGTCGAGGGAACTTAACACCTAGACAATCACCTTTTGGACCAAGCCCAAGGGGAATGAACAGGAAAAAGAACGCTTAATTAGGTTCTGGCTTAATCGAATTCCGGACCTTTGAAAACGAAATTTGAAAAACAAACAAGTCTGCTCGTATATCAGGGCAAAACCCTGAATGTTCCGACTGCCCCCTTAATCCATATCGACTAGTTTTTTTAGGAAAAGAAAAAATTGAAAAATTAAAAATTTTTGGGCAACAGCAAAGATCGAGTGTGAAATCTCGATTCGTACGAAATTAATACGACTAGCTAGTTAGCCTCAATTCAATTTGGGACAATTTTTTTGTGCGGGATAATTAGCCACGCATAAATAATTCCCGTTACGCTTTCAGGATTATGGATAAGATCTTTAAACTGCGCTTAAATTAGTCCAAAGCATAGCCAAACAGGTAATTCTTAAGCTATCAAAACTTGGCAAAAATGATCGAAGGTGAAATACTTTTTTAAATTTGATTTCAGGGAGTCGGTATCTTCGATGAGGCTTAAATTTTTTTTGTTGAAAACTATTATTTCGATTGCCAAAGTAAACAAAACTGCTCGTAGCAGGGCGATGCCCTGAGTGTTCCGATTGTCTTTTAAAGTTTATGGAGCAGTAATAACAAGAAAAAGTTATGTATTAAAAAATGAAAAAAGTCAAAATTGAAATTTTTTGAGTAAATCATCCCCACACACGCCATATAAAGTACAGAGTGATAGATTTCGCTCCTATTAACAAATCAATTATGACCAATAAGCATCCTCCAACAAATGTGGAACCAATTCTAGACGGATTAAATCTCCGCTTACGCGTTAATAGCGCGAAATATATTGCGCGTTAATTGTCCAAAATTGGCCAAAATTGCAATCTTCAAACCCCATAACTTTAAAAAATCTTTTCAATTTCGAGCTCAAGACATCAATATCATTTGAATGACTCTCAAAAATAGCTGAATGGTACCTTTTGAATGACTGTCAAAAAGTCAAACTTTGTCAAAAGAAATAAAAACCACGCCGAACACAAATATTTCGTTACTTTCACTACAACAGTCCGAATAAAAAATCCTCTTCAAGCATGAATATTCCGTTTTCTTAGGAAGTTGGAACAACAAACCCGTTCTTGCTGTATAGTTATCAAACAATACTGCTAGTATATCAGGGCAAATCCCTGAATGTTCCGAATGTCCCTTAATTCATATCGAATAGTTTTTGGGAAGAGAAGTCATTGAGAACCTATAATTTTTGAACTATATCAAAGTTTAAAATTTCGTGTCGTGCAAAACTAATTTGACCAGTTAGCTAGCCTCAATTCAATTTGGAACGGTTTTGTTGTGCGGGATAATTCGCCACGCATCAACAGTTTGGATTACACCCTCAGCATTCTGAAAAAAAAAACTTTTCAATACGCGCATAGTTTAGTCCAGAACATGGCCAATTTAGCAACTTTCATACCCATCGAACATTACAAAGAAAAATCGGAGGTAGGATATCTTTTGAAATTTGAACTCAGAAAGTCGATATCTTCAATTGGGTATAACAATTTTTTGTTAAAAACTATTATTTCGAGCAGCAAAAATCGACTGAATAAAAAAAACCGCACCGAGCATAAAAAATCTGTTTTCTTCGAAAGTCGGAACGATAATTTAGCTGTATCTATACAAAATTACCCAAATTTTGAAATGACTGATAATTGAGTCTAAAAATTTTAAGTGGAAAATCGCTTCGATTAGTTTAAAACATATATAACTGGGAAAATTGTGACTATTCAGTTGAGGTAAATTTTAATTTCATGTTAGATCAAGTTAGAACAATTTCAAGTTAAGGTATACGAAAATAAGCGCAGAGGAACGAAGCGGTGCAAGCCGCCGTTGATTGCCAATGTAAATATTGTAGTCACAATTTTTCAATTTCATTCACAAATTTTTCGATGGCTCAAAATCTCGCATGCTGATATGCTTGCCATCCCAATTTTTGTGTTTCAAAGTTTTTGAAAAATTATGGAATAATTTCGTGATACATTTCTGGTGATATGGATTTAATTTCTCGTCAAAATCAGATATTCAGAGTGAAAAAAAAACTAATTTTTGGGTCAAAGTCAGATAATCAGAGTCTTAATGAATTACAGTCGATAATCAGATACAAAGAACTTTTTTTACTCTTGTAAAATTCAAAAATTTTTACACAAAACTAAAAAAATAATAACTAAATTAGTGGCCGATTGCTGTGCAAGCCAGATAGAAATTAATATAAGCTTCCATGGAAGTGTAAAAATATATTTATTCACTATTAGAAGATCTAATCTAAAGTTGGATTGGAGAGTTGTCCACTCATCTCCAGTCACACACTCCTTCAGTCAAATTTTTCTGAATGACCGGAAAAATTGGCCCAAAATTTTCATTCTTTATCAATTTACGCATGTGGAGTAAGCAAGTAGACAGCTTAAAGCATTTTACTGATTTAAATAGTTTTTCACAACTAGTTTTTCAACCGCTTACTCAATAAATTGGGTGTTCCGCAAGGGGTTTCTATTGGGTCTTCTCCTTTTTCTCATATACTTTAATGATAGAAATAGTGTACCTAAAACGTGGTACTGACTAATTTTAATAATTCAAACTTAAATTTATATTTCACTATGGTTCAATACAGGGACGGATCTAGGATTTTCTCGAGGGGGCGGATTTTCAAAAATATTTCGAAAAATAGGTCGACCTTTTTTTTGTTTAGGTCGACCAAATAGATTTTCCGAGGTCTCCCAAATCACTATAAAGACTTTATTTTGATCAAATTTTCTGCGCCGCAGGCGAATTTTTGAAACAAAAGGCCACCAAGGCGTTTTTGAGCAATTTTTGGAAATTTTTCACCCAAAAATTGCGTTTTTTCGGCGCGCGCTCCCCCCTTCAAAACTAGTATATTTTGTCGCCGAAGGCCCCTTTAGAAAACTTTTAGCGTCAGTCATCCAGAACGGGATATCTCAAAGTAGTAAAAAGGGGGACCCTTTGAGTCGGCAGGGGGTCGAATCCCAGAGA